CGAAGGCGAAAAATACTGATTTCACGGTCTCTACTGAGGAGTGCAAGGTCTATTGCTACGAAATTTTATTTTTCTATTTCAAAATATTGGAGCAAAGACCGCTGAAGAAAAGAAATCCCATTCCCATTTTATAATTGTTCATCCCATTCCCAGTGGCTAAATCCCAGTCCCAGTGAGTAAATCCCATTTTCCCAGTCCACAATAAGGCTAATCCCAGTTCTCATTTTACCCCTTCACGACCCTCTTTACTTTCTCTACAAATTCCAGAGTGTTTTCAGAAGGGGGCGATAAATAACTCCAATTATTATATTTTTATGTCGTGGAATGCAAATTTCAACGAAAAGAGATGATTCATTCTACTTGATGATTCAAAGTTCATCTGTCGCGGAAAGCGCATGTATCGAGAGCAATGTTCATCAGTATGGACAAAGTTTAATGTGGAACTCTCGTTAATAAAGTTGAAGTCTTAAGTTTTGACGATTGCGTTAAGAACTACAAAATTGAACTGCAAAGTTGAATGTTGATCTTTGTCGAGTCAAATGTTAAACTCTCAAGTTGAATGTTGTGATCTACTTTGATTTTTGGCGGGGATGCCGGATGGAAATCCATAGTGCGTTACCTGGCGTGGTGGCTCAAACGGCGTCCAATATATTGCGTGACAGATTCTTGAAGCCTGGGGAGAAAACTTGCTGAGACATAGCTGACTCCAAGTTGGCACACGGGAAAAACATGAGACAGAATTTCCTCCACTTGTTTGTCTCTGTTCAGAATTCCCGTCGTCGATACGGAAAGATTCTTTCTTGGAGGAACGATTATGGGAACAATTTCGAGGACTGCATTTAGTGGTGTCTTTTTCCTCTCATTGCTGTTGATTCACGTTGCATCGCGACCTCACGTACACAGCAACGCAGCTGCTGTTAAAACTGATGCGCCCATCATAGGTTCGCTTATTTAAATCGTTTTCGGAATGTTTATTTCATTTTCTGTGTTACTGTATGTTGTTGTTCCCCTTTTGGGCGTTAGTGAAATCTCATGTTCATCCTTCAGGAATATTAGCCCAGGATTCACATGGCTACATAAAGGGAAAATTTGGGCCAACATATATTGCCGCTTCATACATCAAGTACATAGAGTCCGCCGGTGGCAGAGTTGTTCCGATTCGGTATCCTTTGTTATGACATGCACTGTTTTCTATATTGTAGTTGGTTTATTCAAGTACAAACTCTGTTCTAAAGCATGGATAAACTATCTTTTGCTCCGTTAAAGATAATGTAAATCATTTTTCCTAATTCTAATTTTAATAATTCTAATGGTATAATCTGCAAAGGGTATATCCCATCACGGCAGATATGCAGATGTGAATGTGCTTATGTTAAACATACAATTATGGTGCTAGTATAAAGTTAAAAAAACAGTCAGCGTCTTTACAGGTGGCACATGACGGCCTTTTTGAAAGCCTCTGATCTACTGACTGCTTTTCTATGACACTACAGTGAAACCTCTATCAAGTGGACCACCAATATAATGAAGCGGACACCCTCTTCTAAGCAGACACTGAACCCGGTCCTGAAATTAACATCTTACATTTTCCTTTATAACGAACCCCTATTCAGCAGACACCTCTATTAAGCGGACGCTAAACACTAAAATAAATTATGTTTGGCTAATTTCTATAAAAACCTCTATTAAGCGAAGACTGGACTGAATTAACAATAGCAGTATTGGATTACGTGCTTGAAATACGTACTGAAGTCAGTTGATGTTTTTGCATTTACAAACAAATTAAAGTTGGTAATGAACCTTGAACTCTGGATAGCCTCCTTAACAACATGGAACTTTATCACAGTACAGAGTAACCGTTGAATGTTAATTGTTTACAAACATTGCATAATTTTTATAAACTCTACTAAGCAGACACCCTCTATTAAGCAGACACTTGGGAAGGTCCCAAAGGTGTCCGCTTAATAGAGGCTTCACTGTATTTGGTAAGGAGTTCCAGTCTCTGATTGTAACTAAGTAAGTAACTTTATTCAATCAGGGTAGCCCATTGAGAAATAAAAATGTAGGTATTATTATACGTGTAATAAAACTGTGTTGGGGACCCAAAATCAAAGTAAAAACTCAATGGGAAACTCGTGGATACATTGTTTAGAAAAGTTGAAATTGTATACCCAAGAAAAATTAAGGCTACCTTGCATGTATAGATATGTTAAACACGCTTTGTACATGTGTATCCACAACTTCTAAAAATTAATCAGTAATACTAAAAATGTGGGCAGTTTTTTGGTGTGTTTTCTGTTTTTAATGGTTTAAGGTGGCTCCCTGGCCTAAAGTAAAATGAGGGTGCGCAGGCTGAGCACTATTATTGCGCGAGCTTTATTTTCTGCACAATGTCCATGCAAAAATTAAAAAAACATGGCTTCTCAGTTTTGAAATATTCCCCGAAAAAAAAAACTTGATTAAATAATTCTTGAGTCCTTTTATGCAAGACATTTGGTTAGTGTTGCTCAAACATTTATGAGAGGAGAAAATTTTATCGAGATACATTAAGCTATCTATCTCCATAAGCATGAAACACATCATAAACAAAGCAGAAACTTTTATTTCCAAAGGCATCAAATTATTTTGCGTTACTGCGCTTTTCATAAACACACTAACTCTGAAGTTCAAAAGCCAATTGACGAATGCATTTTTCACTGCCATCTGCATCATCTAAGCGGACCTCTTGGGAAACAGAACTTTACTTAAACGGGTTCACAAGGTCATGGTTTGTGATCTGTGATTGGTGGATTTCAATCCTTTTTGTTTGTTTCTGTGTTTCAAGGTTCTTGCTTGTGATCGTAATTATGATTGACGGCAGCGAAAAATGCAATTGTGAAGGTGGCTTTTGAACTTTAGAGTTTCGCGTGGTTGTGAAAAGCACAAAGTCAGTAAAAGTAGTCAAACATAAAATAAAAGTGGTGTCAAAGTAAATGTGAGACTTCTAGTAGTACTTGCGATCCAATGTTATAACTATGAAACCATACGTATGGAATATTTTTTAGCAATCAGCCATGCAGCTTTATTGGCAGGTTAAAAATTAAAGGTGGCTGGCAGGTCAGTCTACGGACTTATGAATATACTAATTAACATGTCATACCATTTTGTTAAAAAATTAACCTCTGGTAGAAATGACTTGAGTGAAGAACAGCTAGAAAAACTGTTTAGTTCTATAAATGGGTAAGTATCATGCAGATTACTTGTTGGACTTACAAAACTGATCATAATAAAGTGAAGAAGGTATTTAACACTGTAGCAGTTTTGGCCATTAAACTATGGCTTTTTTTAAGCTATTAGAAAATACCCATTTTTTTGAAGTAAAAACACCATAGACGCCTTGCTTTTTTGTACATGTAGCTAATGTTAAAAAAATATAAATGGGCTCTTATTAAGGATAAGTAGGATATTAATAAGTAGAGGTAATGGTTTCTTGTTTGCATTTTTAAACAATAGTATTGGAGCCAAGAGGTAAGGTCTATAGTCATAAAATTTTACCCATCTCCACTTAACCCATATTGATTTAATACAGTATAATCTTCTTGTTCATTAAGTTTTCTTTTTCTCCCTCTCTCTCTCTCTTTCTCTGATTTAGGGTCTTATTTCCAGGGGGTGCTGTAAGTGTCTTTGATTCACAGTATGCACGAACAGGCAAAATACTCTTCAATCTGGCAATGAAGGCAAACGATGTAGGAGATGTGTTTCCACTCTGGGGAACCTGTCTTGGTTTTGAGTTCCTTAGTGTCTGTGGTGCAGGAGGACAAAATGTTTTATCATCTGTAGATGGTGAAGACTATGCTATTCCTTTAAACCTCAGTGATGGTATGTCGTACTCATGCCTGGTCCTCACTAGTGATGCAAACAATAGGGGCAATGTATGAAAGACGGTACATAAACATGTTTAAAAAGTTGGGCAAGGTTCAGGTTACATACTTACAGAGGAGAAACTTTTGTGAGTTTTGCATTTTTTAATTGGCTGCACTAGAGAGTCACATACTTATAGCCATGGAAACAATTATTATTCCAACATATTCCTGGATTCAAGTATTGTCACTCGTATAAATTTCAGTGATATGCCCTTAAAGGAACTGAGGTTATAGCACCAAGAATTAACAAGTTATATATAGTTTCTATCATGAAAATGATCAGAGTGTACATAAAGTGAACCTTCCAACATTCTTATAATCATTGTCATTATACTCAATACTTTTGTTATGTTGATATTTAGTTTTACATTATGTAATTTTTTCTTGTTTATTATTACATTATTTCTGATTATCTTTCAGGCTATGAGTCAAGCAGACTTTTAGGATATGCCCCTGAAGAGATTATTACTTATCTCAGAACAGAAAATGTTACTTATAACCATCATCGGTACTGTGTTTCCACTGATGTGAGTAGATTTCTGAAGATTTTTTGGTTCTGTTTTGGAAAAGGCCTAAAAAGGACCACCCTGGGTATTAGAGGTTAATTTCTCATGTGCAGTAGAATGCTTCAGTGTCCTGAGACACAGGCTAACAGGACAGAAACTGGAAATGGTGCATGAAAAGTTTCTGGCACCCAGGGTAGAGGAAGACCAATGAACTGTTTTATTTATTTATCTTTTTTTGAGCCCCTTCTAACATTTCCTTGTCTCTGCAACAACTGCCTGTTTTTGTCACAGCAGATTTACTCTTGGGTCCTCTACAACAGCCACACATCTTTATTCCCGTCCCTGTGTTTGAAAATTTAATTAACGAAAGGACATGATTATGGTCACCCAAATGGCATATCTTGTTTTAATGAAAAGTTTTATCTGTCTGTTGTAGACTTACTACAATAATGGCGCTCTCAAAAAGTTCTACAAAGTATTGTCAACCAACAGAGACAAAGAAGGAGTCAAGGAGTTTGTATCCACTATTGAGGGTAATGATGTGAATCTATGAAAAGTGTAGTGTTGGATGTTATCTTTGTATGGCGCTTTCCTTTTGTCAGAACTGAGCAGCCAGACCATTCCATCATTACGAGAATTTCACTTTTGATCAAAACTATCCAGCCAGAAAATTCAAATCCTAAATAGTGTGCACGAAGGAGATAGGTTTTCATCAAAGACTCTTGGTCCAGCTGGCCGCGGTTCTGACTTTTGGAAAACATCCATAGTTTCTGTTAAGATCTTAGCAGCAGCTACATTTTTGTGTCCACAGCTTTCAAAACATCCAAGAGCGAGCGAAATGAAGGAAAGAATTTCCTGTTTTCTGACTGGCTACTCAAAAGGCAAGCCCACTCAGGATTTTCTGCTTTGTTCTGGCACAAAAAAAAGACTTTTGACCACATGATAATTTCTTTATTGACCATGCTTGTTCAAAACAAATAAAAAACTTGACCTCCTGCTTTGTCAACAACTACTTTTTTTACAGCTGATAAGGGAACTGGAGCTGAAATGTGTCCGCAATTGTTTTTGGGATTGTTCCTGGGGATGCACCGGTCAGCTGTTGGTCAATACTTTTCCCCTTTCCTTGGAAACAGTGCTAGAAGTCATTTTTAAAGTTAACGTGGCATAGTGTCTTTCTCGTTTTTCTAAACTGGCAAACATAACAATTCTATCGCCTTTTGGATTTAGGATGTTAACTGTTTCATGCTACGAGCAAAGTCTCCAAAACACTGTATACTTAATACTTCTTGCTTCTTTCCATGCTCTAGGTCGTGATTACCCGTTCTACGGAGTTCAGTGGCATCCCGAGAAAAACCCCTTTGAATGGACGTCTGCAGCAGTCATTAATCACTCAAAGAAGGCAGTACTGGTGACTCAATACGTGGCAGATTTTTTCGTCAACCAAGGTGTGTTTCCGACTCTAGACTACGAGTAGTCCCCATTTTTCCTCAGGGATAGTAGAACGAGCGAAACGCGAGCGCACGTGAAAATCAACCCACGCAAGACTACTCGTAGTCTATTCCGACTCAGGTTGACCAGGGTGGGATTCACACAGCCTTCTTTAGTCATGTTATACGTTAGTATCATTAGGATATGAATCAGAATCATGCCCCAAATTTGGAGCTGCGTCGATGCCAGCGTTTGACGTTAGGAAGCTACTACAGGAATAGACTTGCAAGACGGAAGAAGGGAGCACATTTGGAATATTCCCTCTGACCTGCCGTGCATTGTTCGCACGTGTTATGCACCCTTACATCTTAACCAAGCACCATTTGCCAATCACGGTGGGTTATGAGCAAGGTTTTAATAGCACAGTCGGTTAATGCGCGGCCTTCTCTTTGGAAGGTTCCGAGTTTGATTCCCAGTTGTGACCACAAATCCTTTAAGTAGCTTTGAATACCTGAAAACGGAGCAATGATGGAGAAGAGAGGTGAAGGTGAGGGGGTAAAATTTTGGCTCTTTTACGGCTGCTGGTTAACATTTTTCAGTTACGGTTAACAAAAAAGTTAAAGATTAACTGTTTATTGTCTAGGTCTAAGCTACACAAAAGGCTTGGCCTAACGTGCGTACGGAGTCAAAGCACAGAAAGTAGCCGGGACATAAAAACGTAACCATAAGTGAGTTTAACACCTTTCTTAAATTAACAAACCTAGCAAGGGATCAATTTCTTTTACGGTTAACTCTTTTTACCCTATTTACAGCTAACGGTTAAATTTTTTCAATTTTTACGGCTATCGACTAAATTTTAGGCCGTTTTACGCCTATCAGTTAACCCCATTGTGACCCTCTAAAAAGCGTGATGCAAGAGCAGAGCTGCTGGTTTATTCATAAAAACCAATTGTTTTTTGACGTTTTCGTTTTCGTCGTCGTTGTGGTTGCGTAAGCTCCCTGTTAATTCAACTGGTAAACTTGGGGTCGACTGTGCGTTCATTTTAATCCCTCTCTCCCTCCGTTTTAAGAGTATATCAAGCGAGTTAAAGCTGGACAGAAATAAGAGAAGTCGAAACAAGGATGTGACGTCACCGGGGCCGCGCACTATCAAACTGTGCCACTTGCTCCTTGATATACTTTGATCTCCGGCTGAAGTTCCCTTTTTCTTCTTCTTTTTCTAGCTCGTCTTAGTGGGCATCGTTTTCCAAGCAAAGAAGAGGAGGATGCCGCACTGATATATCAATACAACCCGGTTTATTGCGATCCAGAGAAAACCCACTTCGAACAGTGCTACATTTTCAAGTAGAATTTAGAGGCTTCGTCCGGAATTTTTATTTTGCGGGAGCATTTTAATACACCTTGAGCTGTGGTTTTAAAGGGGTTTTATCGTGCTGTCTTAGCACTACACCTAAACTTGTTATAAATAGTTTCGATATTTTAGCAGCAGTTTTGGTGTAGTGGTGTTAAACGGTAACTTCTGACTAAACCTCTATGATTTTTTACATTTAACCAAACAACTTGGGGTTGACTTTTATATTGGTATGATAATTAGACAGAGACAGTATTACAAACTTTGTAAGTAAACAAAATGAAAAGTGGCTGCATGTAAGAAAAACGTGATGTGAATAACTTAATGCGATAGTTTTTTTTTTGTTTTTGAGGTCTACGCATTTTGTCACTTTATAACGTATTGCAATTGTCATTCAAATCACTTGTCTTTTAAATGTAAACGAATTTAATAAAATGTTTTGGTTAAAGAATATATATACCCAATTATTTTCTTGATTGAGAGTCAGCTCCCAAATAATCACCAGAGTTACGAGATGGAAATAAACCTAATAAGTTAAGGTGTCTCGACCTGGTTTTTCAGGGACAACACCTATTCTCCGATATTTGAACACAACGAGCAAAAATGCTTCAAACAAAGTGAGGAAATAAAACTGTACCTGCTTGCGGGGTACATATTTGAGTTGCAAAAAAAGACAGAATTTCGAGATCGACGTATCCATGGCAACACCTTGACACCAGTACACTTTTTACGTTTCCTAAATGGCCATTTTTATACTAAGGACGCATTATCCGTCTGGAAGAACTTGGGCAAACATTCTGTAGTTCGTCTGGGTTATGCGTCTCTGGTATAAAGACGGGCACAGGATGCATTATGCGTCCAGACGACCTACCTTTCGTAGTGCGTCGTTCAAGACGTATTTCGAAGGAAAGTTCGTCCAGACGCATAATGCGCCTTGTGCCCGTCTTTATACTTGAGACGCATAACTAGACGAACTACAAATTCTTTGCCCTAGTTCGTCCAGTTGGATCACAGGTAGCCCAAGCTCGAAATAAGAGCATCGGCGAACATCGGCATTGTTGCGTAACATTCAAAATATAGGGATTTGTATGGGAAAAAACATACTGTTTCTGTAACCTACGAAAATGAAAGGATTTCAATAAAAAACAGCTTACCTCACTTAAAATATGTGTTACATCTCTCCTGTGTGGTCCATGGGCCGATTTATGGCCGTTTTATGGGTTGTACTGTAAACGGTTTTCCCTATATAAAGGTTTAAGGTAAACCTTTATATAGTCTTATATAGAGAGAAAACCGTTTACATAAAAACCATAAAACGGCCATAAATCGGCCCGTGGATCACACAGGAGAGACGTAACACACATTTTAAGTAAGGTAAGCTGTTTTTTATTGAAATCCTTTCATTTTCGTAGGTTACAGAAGCGATAGGTTTTTTTCCCGTACAAATCCTTATTTTCGAATGTTACGCAAAAATACCGATGTTCGCCGATGCTCATATTTCGAGCTTGGGCTACCTGTGGTCGGATATAAAAACGGCCAATTTTTATGGGAAAGTCGAAGTTGGTCATTAGGGCACATAGTTCATATATCTGTCTTGCGTTGAACCGATGTTTTAAGTAATTTTTATGAGAGCGTTTTCGAGAAATCTCTTTTTGAAATTCTAGGCTTCGACAACAAAACCAATCATAAAAAAACGCTTTTTGCGTTGAACAAAATAGACATCTGCTTCCGACTCTGTCCGTAGAAAGGGAACTTTGCCCATAAATTGTTTTTCGAGTTTTCAGTTGCCCTGCGTAAAAATATGAAAGAAATCGCTTCTTCCGATTTCCAATAGTGTGACCTAAATCAAAAGTCATAATTTACTTGTTCCTCATAAATTACTCTTGCTGTTTACTTCAAGACTGTTGAATGGAATCCCTTCCCGAATGGATTCTGATCGTCTCATCGTCTCGGTAAAAGACTCGTACCTAGTTACTTTTGTCAAGCATTTCTAGAGACTCTTTTCCAAGGCACGTTTCCAACTCGATGTCGTTCTTGTGCCGACGTTTTATTTCGTCATCCATACAGACCATACAGCTGAGATCTTTAAATTAAAGATTTTTCATTTATAGTCAAGTTTATCAACGGATGTTAAGGATGTTCAGAAGCGATCATACAAGGTGTGAAATGTGGATGCCGCTGGCAGATTATGGATAAAAGAGGTATTTCACGTCTTCTAATTAAAAAGCGATCTAGCAAAAGACGATTTTGAGAGCAACGATGTTGGAACAATGTTGTGACAATTCGAAACAATGTCCCAACAATATTGCAACGCTGTTTTGCACTGGAAAATCGTCGCTGTGAATCATCTCGTGCATAAACCATCATCTCCTTTACAGTCCTAGGAGCAGCAGGTTTAGCCAAGAAAATAAATTGTAGATGGGGTGATAATTGTAAGATAGCCGGGTAAATTTTCTTTCTTTTCTAACACGAGCATCTGCACTTTTAAATATTAAATTGTGAACCAGCTGCTTCAATGAAAATTGCTGTTGACGCTCCTCGCACGATAGGTAGCGAAGGACACTTGGAATATTCTATATTCTTTAGAGTGAATGAGGAAGCAACGGGATCATTTAGTTGATCGGCCTGGTAATAAAACAACGGCACACAGAAGTTTTCCGATGCTCTCTTCTGGTCAGTACAGACACGGCTTCACTTGCTGAATAATGTAAACGTTTGCGTTTATTTCGTTCGAAACCCAGTGTTTCAACAACGTGATATAAATAATTTATAGTTTTCTACAACCGGAACATAAAGTACGCTGGTCAGATAGAATGATAGTTATCGAAAATATCTTGTTTCATACAAGGAAATAAACTCTAAAAACACTGCAAAGCGTCACCGCGACAAGTCTTTGTAAAAATTACTATTTTCAAAAAACGTAACATGCCTGAATCAGTGAGACATTGAGAAGTTCACATGATTTTGTATCTCTGAGAGGTCCAATATGAAAACAAAACATACTTATTTTAATCGGAAAACGTTGTTTATAAAAATGCAAACTTTGTTTACAATCGTTACCGGTTCTGTTCAATGGATATGTGAACTAAAAAAATTAAGCCGGCTACGTGAAAGCCTAACTTTATCGTTTGAAAGTCTCCCATCTAACGACGTGTAATCAAATTTTTTTCGGCATTTTCATTCAAGTAAGTTTTGAAGCAGAAAATTATTCTGCTAGTTATACATTCACTGGACGATTCACTGGAGATCTGAACACCTCTAACCCATTGTTTTTAGCATGATAAATTGGAAAAACAACATTGATACGCTTCAATACATTCGATTTTGGTTAGTCATATATACTTGTTAGTAATGTTGGAAACTAAATGCTTGCAAAAATTGCAGTTTCCCTGACATGTAGTCACAAACTATAGGAACCTGTGTTCCAATAAAAGAAAAATTATAAATGAGTAAGTCTGAAGTCTCTTCAAAACAGTGACTGAATTTCGTACAACGCAAAAACAAGAGATCAGTGAAAAACTTGTCAATATTCGATCTCGTTAGCTTTTAGCTGTTTACATGTAATATTGAAAGTGCAGTTTCGATCAAAGAATATTGTTGACCGATTGATAACTGCGAGAAGCCGCTAATTTCCTCCTCCTCCGTCCGCTTTTTAAGTTTTTTAGGTCGGTTTTCCACTGCGATATCATATCAGATAAAACTCGAAGGCCATCCACAATACCATCCCCACAAACAGCTGAGGTAGGCTGAAGATGCCACGAATGTCTCGCATTTAGATTGTGAAGTGATAACTTCCTTACAATTTCTGTTGGAGCCGATGCGTTCGGTAAATCTTGCTTGTTAGCGAGTACTAATATCGGAGCACCTTTTATCTGGGCACAGTTGACAAGATTGAAAAGTTCTTGTTTTGCTTCGTCGATTCTTTCTTCATTTGCGCTGTCAACGACGAAAATTATCGCATCTGTGTGGCGCACAAGAGCTTTCCACAGAGGGCGTATATGCTCTTTTCCACTGACATCCCAAATTTTAAAACGTAAGTCTTTATAGGGACGGACGACCTCAACGTTGAACACAGGAGTCGGGGCAATTCGTTCCTTCCAATCTTTCCACTTACTTCGGTACAAAATAGCCGTTTTTCCGCTCTTGTCGAGTCCTAACATAACTACATGAAATGGTCTACGAAACTTTATGCTCGGTCGAAACCGTCGAAAAGAAACTACCACCGCGTTTCCCATAGTTTTCCGTCACAGGACAAGTTTGAAGAAGTGAACTGAAATCAGTCTTCTTGAAGGATGGCAAATTTTTCGAATGAAAAGGGCTTTTATAAATGTAAGCCCTTTGTAAAGATGCTAAATTTATCCGGCGAAACTGAAGAATACATTGCTTTCGCATCTGAAACAACAAGCTTTCTAGTGCACCGGCCGCTTCCGTCGAGTATTAAACAACGAACTTCTTGCAATATGCAAATTTTGTTAATATGATTTACTTTCGGCACTGGCTGTTGCCATTGGTTCAAATATGAAAAGCAAAATGTTTTCTTTGTTCACGAACACTGCATGATTTAAGTGTTCACAAAAAACTGAAAAATAACTTAACACACAGTTTCGCAACAGTTCTGCAAAGTTTAACAGCGTAAAATATCATGCGTCGTGAAATGTGAAATTTATTTCCGTAGTCACGCCATCGCGAAACAGGTTGTTCACACTTTGTAATTTGTAGTTATTGAATGTCGTGAGGTGTGCTGAGACAGTGTTGATTCGGTGTTAAGCATCGACAACTAATTAGAGTAATTGCTCAAACATGTATTACGTAAATCGCCCGTCCTCATAAATAACTTCTGCAGTCGGGTTGAACCTGAATTAGATAAATGTCTTTGAATGTCATCGAAGTGCTCAACACCATTTACGGTATCTAAACAAATGTAAGTAACATGACTATTGAAAGGTTTCACGGTAAACAGTTGCATGTTTATTTACCATCCCTAAACGTAATGCGTATACTGACTATAGTCAGTTTTGACGTCCTTTTGTTCATCGACAAAGCATTTTTCATTGTTATTACAAAAAATACTTCTAACTATTTTTCTTCCAGAGCGGGCAGCAAATGTTTTGGCTTTTGAATCAATGAGGTCTTCAAAACTGAACTTTTTCAACGAAACTACTTTGGCATGGCACTACAAGTGAATTTCGATTTTCAGATATCGACTTACTAGGCCTCTTGCACGATAAGACTGAACAGGGATGAAAAGTCTACAAAAGTAGCCGGGATCCTGAGGGAATCACGTGATGTCTTTAATTTGGCTCTACATGGGCGAATCTACAAGGTTATGACTCTTGAAACATGGTTAAAGATCCATACAAACGACTGTAAATTGTGACAGCGTCCCCCAAAACCATATAAACTCTTAATATTTTTCACGATTTCTGTGATATTCGTGGGCAAACATAGTGATTTTCGAATTAGTTCCTTCCAAGTAATACATGCATGACGAATTTTACAGTTTTACTGAAAAAATGAAATATATTTGAAAGGGTTTATATGGTTTTTTCGTCTTCATGAAGAATTTCGAATGATCAGTTTTCATGGGAATCGCTCGCGACATAGGATATTCCCACCACGTGATAACCTGGGAGGTTTCGTTTACTGAAATACTTAACTCACAAACTATTGTCTTGGGCTACGGATAACGACGTTAAATGGATTGCAACTCGTCAAAAGTCGGGAGTACTTTACGTATAGCACGGTTCTAAAAGTACAGTAAAACGAGTAACAAAAATCGTGCAACTTGTTTTGGACTTTGCTGCAAAACAAGTTGAAACGCGATTTAGGGTCCAACGTGGCTGCTGGTAGAACGAGCAACGTCCTTTCTTAACTCGTTTTGCAGCAATGCATGCAAAACAAGGCGCACGTTTTTTGTTGCGCGTTTTACTGTAGCTTAAGTCTCATTACTCCTTTCTACAAAACCATCAGAGGCAATACTTGCTGCCCTTCTTTCACTGGAGTTTGCAGTCCATAAGCCGTTTGGACGCAGGAAATAGTTCCTTTTTTACTCTTATCAAACTTATGTCAAGAACTTTGTTACCACAATTTCCTATGGTTAAACCTAGCCTTCACACCGGTCAAAATTGTCTCAAAATATAAAATATCAGCAAGTCCACAGCAACAAACCGTTAAGTGGTGCTGGATCTCCCAGCTGTAAACCTGGATCAGTACAATAATGACTTGTAGAAAAACTAAAAAGGCAAATTGAGCCTTACGGCAGGGCAATCAGAAAGTAAACAAAACAATAAAACAAAAAATAAAAGCATTTTTAACAAATTTGCCCAATATTTCGGTTTGAAGACAAACCGTCTTCAGGGGCTAAAAGAAAAATGGAGCTAAGCTAAAAGTTCGTTACAAATAAGAGTTTGAAACTATGAAAATTAAAACAATAGATTGTTATTGTTGTAGGAGACTAGGTAGTATCGTATACCAAGAGCTTCGTCACGTCTATTTATTAAAACAGAGATATTGAGCAAATTTGTTAAAAATATATATATATTTGTGTTATTCTTTTGTTTACTTCTTCATCGCCTTGCCGTAAGGATCAATTATGGTCTTCTACTAAATTTTCTCGTCGGTCAATAGTCTCAGAGCGACCCTGGGCAGGAATGGAAAGTACGGGCTCCTCGCGCGCGCAACGTCATTAAGTCATATTATGACGTCAAACATTCAGTTTGCTTCTTTCCGCGAAAGGAATAGTTGTGCTTTTCGTGTGAGAAGAAAAAAGCTGCAAAATGATCAGGAAGTCTCTATGTGTGCTTACTGTGCTGTCAGTATTGCTGTTGTTATCGGTTAAGTTCAACACTATGAAACGTGAAGGTGAGACTTAATGCTACTTATGCGTTTTAAAATGATTTTTCTAGCTCTCCCAACCTACGATTTTCGACAGTGTCGTTAGATTAAAATATTTTTGTCAGTTAGTTAATGCCACAAACTCCTTCGTCAAATTTCTTGTTCGCTTTTAATTTAAACACTGTGTTCAAGCGGACAAGAAAATATATATATATATTGTACTGTGTGTTTGGGGGCGGGATCGAGGGTGGACAGTTTTTTTTCCCAAGACAAAACATGTCTAGGTTGCCATGGTAAACTCCGACAAGATTATGATTATGATTTGCGCGCGCATTTCATTCTTTTATTACGCGCGCATTCTCGACTCCAAGCCCCAGATATTAAAATAATAGGTGTGAAGCTCTATCCGTTAGTGCATGTAGGTCTCAAGGAATTAAACCAATTGCGCTATCCACTGGATAATGATTTATCCAGAGGATTGAGTCATTCACCAGTTTTGAACAGCTGGGGCCAAAGCTTTCAGTCTTGCAGATTTTAATATCCTGAAGACTCTGAGTCGAGGACGTTTAATGTAGTGCACGCGCTTTGACGGTTAGAAATCGTTATGAAACTTGCTAGAACGAATTATCGCCGCAAATGGTTTCCCTACAGCACACATAAATCTCCTGCTTTTCAAGTGGTTTTTCTTGTATCGCAAGAAAGAAACGGTGAATGTCAATCTTATTCAGCTTGTTATTGTCGTTTTTCTCGCAGCTATTCGACTTTCTATTGACGAGCCAGAGTTCTCCTATGAGGATTTTGCCCGCAAGATTTGTTTGGCGGGAACTTGGAATGGAAAGGTCAGTACAATGTAGTTGTAAGTAAGCTTAGAACTGCTGGCTTTCGATTTTCTATCTTGTTAACGGTCTCTCTTGATGAGAAATGAAACGATTCAGTTCATGTATTTTTCTTGCAATTGTCGTCATGAAGGCCCATTACTGTAACTATCGTGCGCCCAAGGGGCGGAGCCAAGTTTGCAGTTACAACGGTGTCGGAATTGTTGAGGAATATATGAAGTTTGATTAAAAAGTCTAAAAAGAACTGCTCGTATTAGAGAGGTGTCAGTATTTGAGAGGTAGGGTTTCATAGAAGTTTGGTATCTTTAGAACCAAGAGGACTGTTTGCATTGGAGTTATCCGTAAGGAAGGTCCGTGGTAAGAATTCTCGTTAAGTCACTTTTTGCATCTTCAAACTAAATACAGTACGATCTAACCGCCAGGAAATGAATTTTCATTTAATTTAGTTCAGCGACATCGTACTTCTGCAAGTCCTTACTATTTCTTTGGCTTTAACTTAATAACGACTGTTTTTTATCTTTTGTTTCCATTTCATCGCAGGAATATGTGCTGAAGGTGAAGTTCAAATCCCTGGAAGTTGGCTTGAAAGTGGTGTTCAAGGGAAACACACGTTCTGATGTAAAGTTCTCGTCCCACAGAAAACAGGATAATGGACAGGTACGAATGATTAAAGTTTTTAATTCATCTCCATCATGTCTCTCCCTGCCAGAAGATGAATTTAGCCGTGTCTTAATCAATAATCAGCTAATTAGCTTCATGTACTGTTTTAGTGCTTTTAAGAAATCCCAAATTCCTACGTTATCGGTGACCTTACAGTAGTATAGTGTCTCCAGGATTCCGTTGTGGGCTGGAACGTTTCTGGGGGGACTTGGTTCGAAAAAATTTGTAACTGCATATGATAGTATCCAACCATTCCTCGAAGGAAAATTGGAGTAAATAGTGGTACTGACCTCTAGCGGTATGCACCAACACTTACGAGAATAGTTGTTTTAGCATTAACCAAATCACTTAAATAAGAAAAAAAATGAAAATACAAGACTTCACTTAGCAAGAGGATTATCAATTTTTTTTATTAATTGGGACAGTGTTTGCAAAAATGTTGGATATTTTGTCAAGTGCATTTTCACAGTTTTGTTGCATTTAACACTGACAAGCCAAATTGCGTCGCCCTCTTGGTGTTTTAGTACTGGTACAGCTACTTTATTTATCGCTAAAAATTCGTCTTTCGAAACTCTCATGAAACAAGACACCATTTCGACTCCCATCCTCAAACAATGAATAGCCAGGAATTCTCAATCAAAACGCTCAAAACATTTTGCTACCCACTGTTTTGGTAAATATTGTTAATGTAAATTATACTGAACAAAATGTGTCTGGCCTTTTATTAAAATCATTTAGGTGGACGAATTTCCAATCTGTACCGGTCATCGAAATGGAACACATCCTCATGTCTATGAAAATTCTTACGAACCCGAACCCCACATGTCTGTGATGCAAACATGGTACAAAGTAAAAGGAGCCACAGTTGCATTGGCAAGCTGGACATGGAATGGAGTTACCGGCGCGGGAAAAACGTCTTTTAATATCACGGTCACAGCAGCTGGCAAAGCCTATGATTGGGTTATTTCAAAGGCTAAGTCGACCTGGAATGGAGGAAGGCACTTGGCTAAGGAAACCTTAAACGGAGTAATGTGTTTGGCTAAGGGAACCTGGAATGGAATGACGCGTTTGGCTGCTAAGACCTGGGACGGAATAAAGTACTTGGCTGAAAGAACCTGGTGCATGGTTACTTGGATAGTCGAATGGGTCTGGGATCAAGTTATGTGGCTGATCGGTCCTATTAACTTCATGACTGAAGTGGTTTCTATCTTCTATGCTGATTATCTTAAAGGTGAGTGATACGAAAATTTACGTTTTGTAACCAAGCTATGGAAAAGAAATAGGAGACGTAAAAAGTGCACTTTCGTGTTAATTATATCTACAGCTCAAATAAAGTGCATTTTTCCCACTCCTTATAGTATAGACCTTTGTCACGTGGCGGCCATTTTGTCTCAAGAGATTTAAAAAGCTTTGTTTATGCCCGGCTAGCCTCGTTCTCTCTACGAGGCTAGCCGGGTATAAATAAAGCTTTTTAAATCTCTTGAGACAAAATGGCCGCCACGTGACAAAGGTCAATTACCGGTAACTGTGCTATTGATAAGCTGGAAACGTTCCCTAGTCATTCAGCCTCTTCTGGTTATTTTCACAATTAAAGATAGACCATGTGTTTACTTTTTGTTAACCAAAGTTGCTTTATCTTTACATATTATCTTTTTTTACATAAACAAAGAGATACAGAGGTGATATAGGTTATAGATAACCAGGGATCGCTCTAGCTATGCGCCTACTTTGCTACACCTACGATACACTCAGTCTGCGAAACACTCAGACTTTTACGATGGTGATGTAGTTATTTTTTCCTTCTTCTCCACGTACAGATTACGTGTCGTTCATCAAGTCTTTCATTGAAGACATTACCTGGCTGGATATCTTCAGGGCTTGTGTACTTTGTTCCATTTTACTGTCCGTTTCACTTCTCGTGAAATACGTGAATCGACGACGTAGGTGAGTTGTGACCTTTTAACACAAAAACAACTTCTTAGAAATTGCAGTCTTGTTGGTCATTTCCTATCTGCACCGCCCGCCCAATTTTTGAGCGGCCAAAACCGAAAATCCCGTTCCTTGGTCGTTGTTTGCTCCGAAACAACACGGAAACGCTTGCTTCGTAGGCTATCCAACAAGCATCGTATCAGTTTTATAAGTAAGCTCAATAAAAGTTTGTCAATGTTGTTTTTGCAGGCTGGCTAGGATGGAAAGAGAAGCAGCTGCCCTGAAAGCAGCTACACCAAAAAAACCAAAAGGGCGTTATCAGCAACCAAAGAAGAAAAAGAAGAACTGGTTGTAGCCTTTTGTTTACCGTTAAATCTTTTGTAAAAACCTAGATCGATTGAGATTCTTTGATTAAAGTTATTGCTGTTGTTGTTGTATCATTGAGTTGTCTGGTGACTCTGGTTGTCAAGGAGCAAGCATGGGGTTTGATTTAATTGTTCATTTTTAACAGCGTAAGTTGCTGGCGGGTTAAACAAATTGCTTTCGTCCTATGTACTCGTTAACCCCTCCAATTTCGCAGCTTCTGCAGGACGTGAACAGAAGGCAACGACTTTCGTTATTTTTCGGAAATTAGAAACAGTCTCTTAGAATTCAACTCCAGAAAAGGTCGCCAACATTTGACAAAGTGAAGGGCAATGAAGTTTAAAATAACGCGAATTCAATTTCTGAGTGAAATTTTCGCCGCCGTTATCATGGTGGTTGTCGACGAGAACGAAATCTTCACAACAGCCCGGTACGAATTTTACCTCCTGGGTTAACGAAAATGAGATGGAGTACGAGTACGATTTTTCAAATTTAATTCGCGGGCTTAATCTGTTGGTAAGCAAGTGCAACTAAACAACTTGGAACATAACTGGCTTTATAAACTTCGAAACGTTGTACTCTTACGCAAATCTGATTGCGACAAAATGCGAGGTTATCTTCTGGGACTTGGTGAGTACACAATTTACTCACTTTGAGGTACGCTTGCGATAAATTTATCACACAATCTACTGGCATTATGCACCCGTTTTGCTGGAAATGTTTTGTCAAATGATAGAGGGGTAACTGTTAATAAAAAGAATATCCATAGACTGAGACTATTTGACAAGAAAGGACTATTTTAATCAAAAATCAATTTTATCTACTTACAAATCGATAAAAATAATGCATTTTCTTACTTCTTTGAGGCCAGTGAGGCATAAACAATGAAATGAGGTCGAGTCTTGGGTCCACAATTACACAAAAATCACCGTATTTTGCCACCTAAAGCTTCAAGTTGTAAAACATGTAAAAGCTGTCTTCTACCGTTATTTAAATATAAACACTTTAAAAAGCTGGCAAAAAATCAACTTCTGTTTTTGATGGGATAACATTTGTATCTTTGTTTAATATAGCAAGCACTCTCTTTTAAAAAAACAATATATTATATTAATACTCACATAAAAAAATAAATAAAAATTCCAGGAACGGCGCTAACAGACCTTCTCCGTTTTCTATTTGACCAATGGCATGCATAGTGGTTAATCACTAGACTAAAAAGCCAACAGGACTTAAGATTTTCCCACTGTTAGAGAAATTAACTCACAAACTATGTATTTTGGAGACAATACTTTTCCCTCATAAATTGTTTTTATTCGATTTGTAGTTTTAACTTTTGAGTCTGTGAGGATAAAATACTTTAGTGTGACCACAAACCAGAAAAGATGTATTAGACTACTACCCGAATCTGACGTGGATTTTAACTTATATATTATAATGGAGAGCCAAGCAAACACCCGACAGTATTCATACCCAGCAGATTGTCGAACTACAAGTAAGCATACTTGTTGGCTATTTTGAAAAAGAGTGATTTCATTTAAATAGTTAACCTGTAACCCTGTGACGTCAATTGGGCGATGTCACGTGACCTCGAGGTAACCAATGAGACCACGCGCTGTTCGCGAAATTCTAGCAACAAAACACCAAGCCGTATTAACAACTAAATGTACGGAAAAACGGGCAACAAAAAACATGCAACTTGATTCGCAACATGCTGCAAAACAAGTTTAAAAGCGATGTTGCATGTTTTACCACCGACGTTCAAACCTGTCAACAACCTGATTTGTTGCAAGACAGGTTTGATCTGGGTGGTAAAACGTGCAATGTCGCTTTGCAACTCGTTTTGCTGCAATGTTGCAAAACAAGTTGCATGTTTTTTGTTGCCCGTTTTTCCGTACCTTAAGGGCGCTTTCCATTCAAACCAAAACGTCCGGTTTGAATTTTCGGCAACTTTTAGTGGCGAATGGAACAGCATTATCCAAAATTTCTCAAAAAGAGGACAACCTCGCGAGGCATACCCAAATTCTCGAAACATTTGTTCCGCTGTTTCCAAGTTTCGAAAGTTTTGGTTGAATGCCGGAAAGCGCTCTAAAGACTACATATCACCTCTCCTCATGCCCTGAACAAATTAGCGCGATACTGAAGGTCTTGTAAGCGCCCCTGAAATTTTGGTGTAAGAAAAGTACTGAGAGTAGCTGAGAGAATAATTTAAAGTTCCGACTTGATCTCCTGAGTGGGAGAGGAAATAGGGAGCCTAAACAAACACAACGGCGACGGCGGCAAAAGCGTCAGTTAAATGTTCAGTTTAAAATTCGTGCTTTTTCAAACTTCATCTTTTTAATTTTATCTCATTCAATTTGTCAAATGGTGACGAATTTTTCTGGACTGAATTCAGTTCTAAAGTTAGTATTCAGGTTCAGTAAAAGAAAATCGTTCTCTTCTGTTTACATCATCCATAAAATGTGAAAATAAGAAATTTCACTTCGTTCTTGTCAATTGACGGCAAATACATTAATCAGGGTAATGCGAGCGCAGAATTGTTGTTTTACTTATTAAACCTAGTGATTTTTGACGTTCGCGTTGCCGTCGCAGACGTTGTTGCTTAAGCTTAAGCTCGCTACTTTTTAAAATGCCCAGAATTTCCAACCGACACTGCTTTCAATTCTGACGGTTGTAGCATTTATTATTGTTAATAAAGATTTTTGTTATTTATTTAAAAAAAAAAAAATATATATATATATATATATATTTTCACCTGTAATTTAAGATGCAGGGTCGCGCTTGATCAGTAACACAAATAAGTACAATAAATAAATCATAGTCTAATTATATTCACCATTTGATTCTTTCGTGTTTAAAACGCCATGCTGGTGATCGGGCCCCTTGTGCTAGGAATGCTGGGATTGGAACGTCCAGAATTCACCACCGGAGTGGTATTAGAGGGTCCCTGAGGGGGGACTGGGGGAGTACCTCCGTAACTGTAGTATCCTATTCTTCCTGACTCCTCGCATGAATGAAATTCCGCTGATAATCGATGGTTTGTCGAGTTGTACTAAAGGAAATAAAATAGAAGTCTCAAACAATTTCTCGTGGAAACAATGTATTTATCTTAAAAATCATTTTTTCGAGGTTTTGATTGGTTTAGAGCTATTTGGGTCAATTAAGGTTAACTACTTTACTGTGCTTAACTGCGTACGCAGAATGGTATGCACATGCGCATTAGTGAAAAATTGCTATTATGCCAAAAATTCTCTGATCATTCGAAGTTTGGATAATAAATGTCCTAGGAGGACAACGGTAGCTCCGCGTTTCGCCAAAAAATACAAAGACAAACAGACAAACAAACAAAAAAACAACAGCGAAACCAAGATACTGTTTGAATGATAAAACAATGTTACAGAAAGTGTAGCGTATCCTTTGTAAAACTGACAGAAACTATGGTTTAGTAACTTTGTGTGCCAACTAATTCCGTTGAAACTAAGGCACTGAAGTTATTTAAAAGAAAACGAACATCACATAATTCTGAAGGATTCTTTTAAAATGAGCAACCAAAAACAAAGTAGTACCGTAGTCACCGGAGGAGCACTGGGAATGAGAGGAACAGTCTCCACTCTGTTGTTATCGTCCGAAATGGACTGGTAAGGAGTTCCAATGGGTGAATCTGAGCTGCAAGGGAAGAAGGAGTACCTTCTTAAACTAAGCTATCTTAAATATGACCAATCACGTAACGTAAGTGTAAGTTTTATAGCTTTAGGGGGGCGTTTGTCTTCAGCTTGGCTGGCTAATAATCTTTTTCTCTTGGCTTGACGATATAGCGCGGAGTATATAGTTAATGTTTAATCATACTTTACTACCATCAGAAAGGTTTGTTGATACCCTAACTTCAAAGAAAACAAAACTACAGATCTCAAGCATACAGTGGTGGAGTGCATTGAGTTGTCAAATAAAAATAAAAGAGAAATAAATTCTTCCATGAAGGGACAAAAGAGAACTGGTACTAAGTCGTTGTAAGCATCAAGACGGTTGGCAACGTAGTACTTGAAACAAAGTTGAATCACGTGTTCATTTTGAGCGTTTCCAACAGTTTATTTTCATCTGATGAAAAGTCGCATTCAGAAAAGGTCCACTCGTAAACAGAAAAGGAGCTGGTAAGCCTGTGCAGCCCGTAGTTTAACAAATGGTTCTTACCCACACATGTCTAAAATACTTCCCCGTCTTCGATGTTTTGGAATTCTAATAATAAAAAAAATACATTCAGTTTAATACAGTTGTATCAATAGAATTGTCTGACTGTTGTGCCAATTACTGAACACCACTCTGGGTTTTCCTCGTGTGCGGCAAGATGCTTCGATAGTCGGCCGAAGGCCGAAGCCACCGGAAACCTCGCATGAAAAGTCTATGGCACCCCAGCAGGGTATGTACACCTCGTACGATTCCAGAAAGGTCAAGAACCTGCAAATTACCTGAGATAAATGGGCAGCACTAAAGTGAGATTTATGATCAGTAAACAGCCAATGATCAGGGTCATCAACAGCAGTTCAGCCATGCCTGGCCTGTAATGACAGAAACACAGTATTTCCAATAGATTGCAGTCGGGTAAGCAAACTAAAGTGAACGGACTGGCTCGTTGTGACTGGACAGAGCAAACGAGCCGAGGGGAGCCTGGGGAGAAGCTTTATCTCTCTATCTCCGACCCAGTTTTCGCTCGGCTGACATATTTCACGCAGGTAAATTTACCCGTCAAGGAAAAGAGAGTTATTTGGAGAACACAGAAGTGCCAAACAGAAAAATGAGAAAAATACATTTAAATTCAAATAGACCTATAAGAACTCCATAGTTGGGAAGTGTCGAAAAGAACGAGGTAAGATATTTTAAAAACACAATATTAAGACACCCAACCTCAGTGGACTGTAAATTCAAGGCGCGGCCGAGTTAGTTTAGGTCGACTTCCAGGTGACTGCAGATAGGATGAAACACTAGGTTGAGTGTTTTGATACGAATAATATAAATTCTTGACAAAATTCCAAAATACTCCCCAAAGTGTCTTGGTAATTACGATTCCGTTTTATTTTCGTCTAGAACGAAGCACAATTAAGGTATTTGCACAGGCAAATTTTCAACATTTTATTTTGCCCTCAAAATCTTTCTACAGTAAGTTCAGATGATGTAATATGCATATCTGGTGTTCTTTTTTGAATATACCTTGGCATTTAAGAGAAAATCTACTCAAAAGTTGACTGATTTACCGGAAGTTAAAGAAAAATTTTCATTTCCGTTACTAAGGAAAAGGACGGCAGGAGCGCAATTTGACTCCTCTTTCCATCATCAAGTTCTATTGATGCGCTGAACAAAATCTATTCACTGCTTGGATTCATTGACAAACTACAGCCGCTGTGTGTCCAACTTGATTTTTCTTGCTACTGTTAAAGCTGTGATGACTAATATTACTTGCTTCTTGTCAAAATTTGTTATGTTCTTGAAATACACTCCGTTTTCCAGGGCTTATTATTGTTTTAAATTTATATTACATCGGTGTGTCTTCTCACCTGATATTTTCTGACAATTTTGCCGGGAGAGTAAAACGTTTTCTTGGCCCCTAATCCTCTGGTCTGTTTTTCTGCCAATTTCTTTCACTTTACAGAAGCAATTCTTTTTAATTTTGAACAAAACTCTTCTTCAATCTTCATACTTCGGCGCGCTTCACTGCATTAAAGCTGACATTGAGTAACGCATCTTCCGGAAATGCGTCACACCTAGCAACTGGTCACGTATCAAAATCCAAGAGGGCTATAGAGAGGTCATTTGGCATTTTCTTAGGCTTCCACGAGCATTTTACACAGCGGTGATTCAAAATGGCGGGCAAGAAGGTCTGTGATGGTAGTATCGAGGAAAAACAGTTGATTTTGAGAAGAAAATAAGCTTTTTCACATTGGAAAAGCGTTAATTACCGCGTGACCGATTTACCTTGACTTACGGGAACCAGTTTTTTGGAGGAATGGATCATTATTACTTCGTGAAATTTGGCAAATACACAAACAGCATGTTAATGAACAGATCTGTGTTTGACTAAAGGTTAGAATTGCCGTACAGCTGAGTTATTGATGTCAAAATATGGGTCAAATTACAAAATAGCAAATTGTGCCCTAGAGGCCGGATTAATTGGAGCTGTGTCGTGGTCAAACACAGAATTATTCTATCTTACGTCCTTATTTGTGTTACATTTCTTTTTTAACAATAACTCTAAGGATTCTTCTTAAATTTTGATTTTTCTCTTTCCGTGCCACCCTAGGGGGTAATTAAATTAACACCTTTTGGGTGACATAACATAGTTTATTTTGATATATTCTAGTTCCTCAAGAACTGAGGAATACTGTTAATATAGTGACATATAGATATTATCCATAAAACAACCACTAAAAATGATGCAAAAATGTGCAAAATTTGCCTGTGCAGATACCTTAAGAGGATTACTTACACAATATAACTGCATATGAAACACCGAGCACTCTCAAATTGCTGTATGAAATGCAACAAAAAAGTATGAGTAAAAAACACCAACTAGCATTCTGAACCAGCATCTTTGTTCCTTCAATTAGATTCCCGTAGACAAAAGAAACCTCCCACTTTCAAGTTATTTCTGTGGTACGATCACAATACCAAAAAGAATATTCTATCTAAGGACCAAGAACCTCAAAATCAAACCCCGCCTATTCCACGGAACGTTCCGCGCCAATTCTGCCTTGAAATCAGTGCGGGCGGGGGATCAACCCAAGACGACCAAGTGAACGTGTCTGAACATTGCTATTTTCTACTAACCTGATGTGTATATGTACAATTCAAGTTTTTCATGATAACCGAAAGGCTAGTTTGTGTTTGTTTCAGGTCATCATAGCAGCTTAAAAGTTCCTCTTGACAATCCCCTGTTAACTTCAATCCCTGTCAACACACAAATAAAAGAACACCAGGTTAAAACATTTTAAGTAGTCTGAACAATACGATCAGGAGTGTTTTATCAAAAGATTGACACCCAAGGTGCAGCCAACTTGTTTTAGACTCCACAAAACCGCAAGTGAGCAATATTGAGCGCACTCAATGCCATATAACACTTCTTTCTCGCACTAATCCTTTTGTTTTGGATTATTAGGTAAAAAGAGCTGGCAATCTCCCAAATATATTAATTGCGGGGCAATTTTATGGGTTAAGTGGTAAGTGTTGGTATTAGCTTTCTATAGCCTTGTAACTCGAATGGCGGTTAACTTCTCTGGAAGCAATTGCGAAGGTTATTTATTTATTTATTCATTTTGATATGCCCTGCCAAGTCTTCAGATTTGCAATGTAGGATTGAGGCTATAAAGGCCATTTTTTTCTTAACCAATTTTTTTCTCTTTGTCTTTCTCACTATAAGTTCACAGGGATGGTTTATAGGAGCCTTTGATTTTATCAGAATACAACAGTGCAGCTTAAAACAAAATTGCTGCCAAACTAATCTGGCTCCATTGCTATTATTAACTTTCCTTACCAAATGCATTAACCTTGAAAATACAGTCAAAGTTTCATTTAAAACTTCGCTGGCTCTATCAGCATGCTAAATCAGGAAAAACAACAACAACAACAAAAAAACGTTATCCCAGAGAAACTATTTAAACACTCTTCTTCTTCGGCCATTTCAACTTGAGTAAAAATAAAACACAAACTGCAGTAACAAACATGATGAAACAACGCATGTTGCAAAAAACTAAGATTTTAAAGACTTGATGTTTTGTATGTAACTACATACATCTTCAGAAGTGACGGTCAAAAAGATAACGGTAAAATTTAAACATCTAGAAAAGGACTGGAACATAATAAACAGGTAAAAACAATGACTGATGACAACAAATGACGTAACAGATTCAATTTGAAGTCTGCAGGTAATTATAATAAATGATGGTAGTAGAGAAAAAGTTTTTCGCTGCCAACACTTTCATTTAAAGCAGGTTTTAAATCTTGAATCAATATAGTTTCTTTTCAGTTTAATAAACCCAGGCGCCTTATGTCTGAGGCCAAATAAAAGAATAACTGACTGACTGACCAATGTGGGAATAAAAGGATGAATGAAAGGGTCAATAAGTGAATGGGATAACAAGTGAACAAATGAATGCCGATGAATGAATGAATGAAGAAGTGTTACATAAAAGAGACATGAAGTCTAGCATAATGTAATGAGTGGCACGTCAAGAGTTTACACTAGCCTGCGTGACAGGCGTTTGAAAGGGAAGGGAAAGGGAGTTTTAGGAGCGCAAGGAGGGAGGGCGTGCCACAATGCCTTGTGCACCACAACCCTCGCGTTTCTCTCACGCCTAAAACTCCCTTTCCCTTCCCTTTCAAACGCCCGCCACGCAGGCTAGAGTTTACACGTACTCTTATTGGATGTGTCAGCTACAAATAGCCAAATGAATAAAGAGCTACTTTGTTGATTGTTAAACAGAAAAGTACTCGCATTAACGGCAACCACTAGCCAGTATTCTGTGGATTAAAGAATCATATCATGTTTGGGTATTACTACTAAAATAAATAAAGCTTCTATGAAAATTAATACTTGACTGACCTTTTGATAAGGATTTATTTCGCTGGAAGGACACTCCATATAGTACTTAACAATTCCTGTAAAATATATATTATAATGGAAAACTTAAATACGACATGAAACAATGAAGTTCAGTTTGAAAGTTATTTTGCTTTTAGCTTATTTAGAGAGACGAAACCACTGTAAAATAAAAATTTACACCTTAAAGCTAGGGAAAGATAAATGACAATTTATAAGGTGCACATAATTTAAAAACTCTATGAATAAGGTGCCAATGTTACATTGTTACAATGTGCACTAGGTGCGCAGTAATTAAACAATCATGTAGCTAGAACATAGCCCGCAACAAGTACAGGGTTTCCAATAATGCTAACTAAGAATTTAAATCCAGATCATGAGTAGCCAAAAATACTCATAATTACAATAAAGTATTAAAATAAATCAAATCACGAATAGGCATGTAAAAAGGCAAAAAAGAGATTTTCACTCTGTTCCACAGCCTCTTAATGGCTTAATATGTCAAAAAATTATGTTTTAAACTTGCAAATTAAAATTTTGTTATCAGTGCCTGAATAAAAGATATCATTTATTATAACATAATATAATAATTATACTGGCCCCAGTTGTTCAAACGTTGGATAGCGCTATCCAACGTTTGAACAACTGGGGCCTGGTATATAATATAAAATAATGTAATGTTATTACCCTTACCAGTCTTTTGTAATGTGGACTGATCCTTGATGTAAAAGTACACAGTTTCTTTAGGATTAACACAAAGATCAGACATCCCCTTAAAAGAGGCAACATAGCAAAACAAAAACAAATGTTTATGAGTTTGGAAATGCTGACCAAAAAACTCATCGATCAAGTCCCAAAAATCAATAAACAAAAATACTTACGACTGCAACAGCCAAATCGACGCCAACACCTGACCAGACCAAAGCAAGACTGAATGTTCCACCTAAAATAGCCCTGAAAATTAAGTAAAGGCAATCACCTTGTTTAGCGGTTCTAGGCATGTCAAAGTCCGAGCAAAAAGTAAAGTGGTGCCCAATTTTCTACGGTCTAATAATTACATGAAAAGAAAACAGATCTATCAATAACTTGCTAAGAAACTATAACCAGCATACGTATGGTATTGCAGAAAATGCGCTTTGTCCTTACTGCAGACAAAATGATTCAATAATTCATACTTTTTGTAACTGCCACTGGACCAAGTGGTTTTTTTCAGAAGTAATCAAATGGTTCAACGTCGAGAAAAGAATCAAAGCTCTTCGGCAATTGTCAAAAAGCTCGATTTTACTCTTTTGTTTGCTAAATATTACTTGTACATAAATAAGTTAGCTCCTAAAGATTTATCTTTGGATGAATTTAAGGCTAAAATCAGTTGGTGATACGATTTCGAAAAACCCCCTCCTTCAACTAGTTAGTGAGTATCCATCTTACTGGAATAATCTGTTAATTAGCAGGTCTAACGTTATTGTGCGTATTATTACAACTGTTGTATTATTCTTTCTCGTCTTTATGTAATTTTGATCCAAGATGTAATATCGTTATATACTTATTTTTTAGTTTTAAATTTTGCATCTGTAATATGTGTTTTGTCAATTTAAAAAAAATAAAAAAAATAAAAAATAAAAAAAAAACTATAACCAGCATGCAAAGAAAGTAGTGTTCGATAGCCCAGGGCTAGTGGATTTTGCTGTTGGGCTAGTGAATCCTATTTTTAACTTGCCCGAAGGGCAAGTGATGCTTTTTGAGGAATTCGAATAACAGAAGAACTGTGAAATCAGCTAGTTCTGCTCTTCACGAAGCTTTTGTGGCAAGATGAAATGACGTCTTGGCTAGTAAATGGTAGCTTCAGCTTGCCCAAATGGCAAGCTGTAAAAATGATTTTCTTTGCACCCTGTATACAGGGTTCTCGATAGATTTTTAAGTAGGAGGTGATCACTGATAAAGTAGGAGGCTCTTCAGCAAAGCCAGAGGTGTCAAAACAAAGCAAAGAAAAGTGACCTAAACACAAAGTAAGCGGCTATAAATCCCAAAGTAAGCGGCGATCAATCGCCGGGTGCCGCCTTCTATTGAGAACCCTGTGTATAACACATACAAATTTGAAGCCACAAACTGAAAGAGCTGCTGGAAAGCTGGAGTAAAATATGAGGACAACAAAAATCAAACAGCATTTAAACTGTGGTTTGATCCTACACTTTTTGAATTAAAACTGTGAATAATTCTACCTGGATTTATGGGTTAAAACTGGGTTGCAAACATTTTGTAATTTCTCTCAACTTCCCCTGTCTTGGCTTGTTTACTGTGTTGTTTGCTTATGTCATTTTCTGGTTGTTTTGTGGTTAAGGATTTGTGTAGAAGTGGCTGTAGAGGAAATTTCCTGAATTTGCGTTCTTTCTAAACCCTCTTCCCTCCCTTCCTAGAGGGTGTTTTCCTATCCCTACCCAGAATTCCCTGTCTAACACAAGTGACAGTTAATTGAAATCAGTGTGCGCCTAAAGCTGGTTTCGGTGCCATTTAGCAGTTCATATTTCGTTACCGGTCACCTTGAGAAAAGTTAACTGGAGAGCATCATGTAAAGCTCTGAGATGAGACAAAGTTAATACGATTCGCAGAGTCTGCATCATTCAATATTGTATTGTGTTCTTGTTTCATTTGGCTAAACGGATCAATCACCCTGATCCAGGCTGAGACAGAAAGGTACGATATTGTTCGCTTTTCTAAGGTGACCACTAAGTCTTTGGCCTCGGGAACAGGCTTCTAGAAGTCAAATCTATTAGGTGAGAGCAAAATTGCTGGTGAACTTTGACCCCTGCCAAGACTTTCTGGTGAGAAAACAGGGTCTATGCTGGTATGCCAACTGTGTGACTGCGCATCTGGGAACTTAAATAATGAGGGGTGTAAGAGAAAAGTCTAGACGTGTTTATCTGCCAACAGGCTGAGTTTTTCCGAGTTATTTGATGATATTTCACTTGTGTTAAATTTGGTGGATGGTTGTATCAGTGTCGCGTAAGTGTGTAACTTTGTGATTTCTGCATGGTGCTGACAGGCAGAACTCAGGTATGTGGTCGCGTGGTTGAGCTGTTGCACTAAAATATTCTGTGCCAGGCCATAAAAACATTTCATTGGTGTTTAGCTTAGCTTAGCTGATTGTGCCTTGGAAAACCAATTATTTTCGACTCAGGAAAAACTGGATCTAGGTCTAGGTTCAGCAGGCTCTTGGCTTTGAACCATAGGGCAGTTTTCGCAGATAAGAAGGTGATAATTTGTGCACTATGTTTCTATCAGTTTGTTGTCTATTCCATGCAAAATCTTGTCATTTATCGGACAGTGAAAAAAGCAGACTTTGGCTAACTATCTAAGGTGTTGTGTAAGCCTTCACCAGACACTTTTTGGCTGCAGTTCACTCAACTTAAAAATTTCTAGACTCAAATGACACCAGTGTGAAATTTCATGGAGTCACATTACTGAATAAAATTCTAAAATTTGCATCATTTTAAATCTGAACTCACTGAAACGCTTCTTGGGACCACTGACTTACTGCCCGGCATCAGATAGAGGCTTTTAATAATATTGGCCTTTGAATGACTTTTTATTGTTTTAAATAGTCAAGAAGTAGAAATGAGTTGATTTTTTTTGCTAACCTGGTTTTCAAAAATTCAGCTATAATTATAATGCCCAATATTTTCCTCTTCAGAGCTAAAAATTAACTACGTCAGTGGAAGTTAGAGTTTAGGAAGAGAGACAGTCAAGTCCAACAAAACTACTTACAGTTGATTACTCTAAGATTTGTGTGCATAAAACATGGATATAAAAACTTACAGAATACATCCACATCTACTTCCTCTTAAGATGGCATAGATCATCAACAAACTTGTGAGTGTATTCAAACACATTGTGCCAAATGTAACCCACCATCTACAGGGAAAAACAAAAAGTTAATAGTAAAGCATAGACTGAGAATGTTTAATAGTTTTTTGAGCTGAAATTTTTGGATATGCTGCAAAATGTAACTGTTATTTCATTTATAAAAAATTATTATAGTTTATAACAATAACTTATCATTTTAGTGAACGATCTGGATCTGCCACTGATAACTGAGTCACAATACTGATTTATTTCAAAAACACCATGCATGTTATTCTGAAATTATTATATTTTGCGTTACTACTTTACGCATTAGAAAAGTTGAACTTATACATTTTGCGTTGAAAATTTTATTACTGTTATCACATTTTGCAGTGATTTTTATTACTTTTCGTGGCAATTATTAAATTTTGTGGCATGACAGGGTTGTCATGTTTGATCCTTGACCGACCATGCTGATAAAAAACATGCTGAGTTGTGTAATGAAAGACAAGGCAAGTGTTGAGACATAATATTTACTTCCCAGGCACCAGCCCCTTCTCCCCATAAACCAGAGTGAAAGTTATTTTATTTGCTAGTAGACATTTTTTTTTATCTGTTTTGAAACAGAAACCAAACCAAAGTAACTTTATTTAATTAGGATGACCCTTGACAGTTGAAAGAACAGTTAAAACTGTGGCCCTCTAACCATCCCCTACTTGTTGGAGAGACTTTCAAGATCAAATTTGGAATTTTGATGTTTGAAGCGAGAGGAAACTGGAAAACCCCGAGAAGAACCTCTTAGAGCGGAGAGGAGAACCAACAACAAACTCATTCCACATATGGTGTCAATGCAGGAATTTAAACCCATGTCACATTAGTTGAAGGTGCTGCCCAAAGCTTCTGCACTTGTGGAATCATTAATATATTATCCTTTACTTTCAGTATGTTTGTCTCCATAGTTTCAACCCTATAACCCTTTCAAATTTGAATGTTTAGCCAAGTGCTACTACTTTTCTCTCCCTCGCAGACAAGACATTAGTGTATGCTTTTATGACATACTTCTAATATACACACACAAGCAACCCTTCTTCCTTCATTAGTTTAGCTTGTCATGCTTCAAATCAGCTGTGAGGAGTTGCTTGTACCACAGTAAGGACTGTAGTAGTTGAAGTATTAGGGCACAGCCTCAGATAAATTTTTCAAGGACCTACTGCCTCATCTCACCTAATGAATCATTGGCTCTACTAAATCCTCTAATCAGATGAATTTCATATGCTCTTCATTATTACCTATAATACTCAATGTCCTCAACATAATCCCCATAAGGTGGTATACTGACTTTCTTGATTTTCACAATGGTAGTAATAACATCTCCAACATATTCCCTAATTTCATGAATCAAAGCTTGTGCGGCATCAGTCATGCCTTTACAGTTCTGTACGTCAATAATGTTACTATCCAAATCCACAAGGTCATCCTTGATAGAATTGACCTACACAAGAAAAATGCATTATCACTGGAAAACTACTTTCTTCTGAAAATACTGCACAGTGGTCTAATGTTAATTTATTCTTAAATATTATTTGATGTTGAGCATATATTTTTTTAAATAACTCTAAAAACTGTTAAGGTTGGAGATCGACTAAGCTCTTCTGAGCTTATAAGAATTTGTCTTATGATGTTGCATTTATTGCTGAGATAATGTCATAAACTAAGCAGCTTTAAATAACATTAATTTATACTTTGCCTTAATTTTTTTTACTGATTTCTTTGCCTTCTACAATCAAGTTATATGGTCCGAGCTAAGTTGGGAACACTGAACGGAGTGTATTGACAAGACAAAAATAATGTTTTTTGAAATAACACATCGCTGAATGAATGTTGAATTTAATGTTACGGTAAGTATTACCCTAAGTAACATATTTTGTTTTATTTTGTGGGGGGATCTTTATTCATATCACCAAATTTGATATCTAGTGTCATGTAACATAATCTCAGGGATAACACTAAAGGTCATGTTACACAGCACAATTCGCAACAACAATTTTTAGCAACACTGTATTTGCAATGTTGGGATGGGGGATCTTTATTCATATCACCAAATTTGATATCTAGTGTCACGTCACATAATCTCAGGGATAACACTAAAGGTCATGTTACACAGCACAATTCGCAACAACAATTTTTAGTAACACTGTATTGCAATGTTGGAACAATGTTGTAGCCATTCCAAACAATGTCGCAACAATGTTGCAACACTGTGTTGCGCTAAAAATAGTTGTTATGAATAATATTATTGTCTCGTGTAACATCAGCTTATATTAAGAGCCTGCTGCAGCTGGCTTTTTTCATTGGCTGAAAAAAACTTACCACCGGCTCAAATTGCTTTGGAAAACAAAGACATGGAGTTATTATGGACAAATAAAAAAGCCTGCTTAGCTTGTCCTTAATAACATCACTGTAATCTCACTAAAATATTATCCTTTTTCAGTAGTTAGGATGTTTCAACAGTTAAAAATAAGCTAGTATATTCAAAAGACAGACAAAATGTCAAGGGTATTAAACTACCTTTGACTGGATTTCTAACAGTGTGTTATTGGCATTGTGGCCAGCTGTCAATACTCCTTTTACACCTTCATCTGCTGTATCATTAAATACAAAGGCTGCAATGACAAGGCCACTGAAACAGAAAAAGACAAGGATTGCAGTTAATATATTGTTTATTCACATTGTTCCACTGAAGGATAAGTTTAATATATATTCCAGCAACTCCTTCAACAATGAATGAGGCATATCTGAGCCAAAAAAATGAAAATCAAGAGATCCCTGTTGGGATGGATATGTTACAGATGCAAGGAGAAACTCTTGCATGACAAGTAAAATGATGGGCGAGGTGCTGATTGCACAACAGCATTATTTACCTCGAGAAAGGAAAGGTTTATTACAGCACACAGGCGACATTAAAGCGTCTCAACATTAGTGAGGCTGTATCTTTATGAGAATCCGACGATTTCACAAAAAACAAATTTCCATTGTTAAAATTAATGGGTGTCCTTATTAGGTGAGTTGAATTTAGAGAAAAAGCAAGAGCTTTCTCCAGGGACTAAGAAAACTATCCATAATGATGAGGTGCTTTTATTAAGCAAGTGTCCATAAAGCAGGGTTCAACTGTACCCCTCTGAATTGTATTTACATACAGTCTAACATTGTAGAAGGCCCTCATAATTTTATTGTTCAAATCACAGATTTGTGAGATTCTATGTGTGGACAATAGCATGTGTCACAGACATAATTTAACCTGGGTTGGTAACGTCTGCAAAGCAGTACCGATATCCTTGTTCTGGGGCCCAAACGGACTCAACAAATTATCAGAAGTGCGTTTTGAATTTCCTTTCATCCTGATTGGCAAATTGACAATGGCTTTTCTAACTGGCCAATCATGGCACCTGCTCAAATCCAGGAACACAGGTGGGGGCCCAGAAAAAAAATTCCAGAGCTGTTTTGCAGATGGACTTAACCAGAATTTAGTTTCATCTGTGGCAAAGGCTATGTGGACAATAGTGATATAAATGTTTACTATATAAATTACATCATCATTATTATTATTGACATAGAATGATCACTAACCTGCACAAAACTGATGCTAAAAGAACAACACATCTAAGGAATTTAACACACTTGGCTGATGGCTTATGCTGTTTGTCACAGGAACACCAGCTAGCTATGAAATGGACACAGAAAATGAGAAACACTAGGCCAGCAAACAGACATGGAACTGCGGCAAAGAGGAATAAGGCCTGTCAATGAATAAAAGAAAGAGAAATAAAGAAAATAATTATTAATACTTTGGCCGGGATGATACAGATCAGGATCAGTGATCCAATCACCCAGAACATAGCACATCAGAGGGACCAACCAATCCAACCTTGGAAAGGATGCATCAGTTCATTTTATGAACCATGATCCAAATGATCTCGAATCACTTACTCTGATCCAGATTATCTGGAAGGATTGCACCCAAAGAGTATTCTGGTATTTTTGAATAAGGCCTATTCAGTGTGTGGTTCCAGTGGTAAAGCTTTCATTTCAGAAATGCTTCTAGGGGTATAGAATGGTAAATTCGAGACTTTGCAAGACTGCAAGACCCTGGTTTCAAAATTCAAGACCAAGACTTCAAAAAATCTGAGATTCTGAGATGCAAAATCGCCCGAAAATGAGATTTCGAGACCTATCACAAACGCTTTCAAGATTTTGAGATCGAGGCAAAATTTTCCAAGACCCACCTTTTTCGAGGAACCATTCTATACCCCTGCTTCTGGTGCTCATAGTTTTCCGAGTTTCACAGTTAAGTACACATACATAAATTTGAAGAAATTAAGAATTAGTAGAGAGAATTTGGTAAAAGATCAAACCACTTTCTCATTGGTGTTTATTTTCATAATCACTCTCATAACCATTTCTCTTAATTATGTACTTATATTGATAGGAGAAAATTAGTGTTGGTCACTCTTGCAGGGACTTACAGGTTTGAAAGTAAAAACCAAGATTCCACAAATTACATAGTTTTTTGAATCCCATGGAAGTCCTGAAAAAATTCTTCGGGTTTATTGACAAATTATTGCTTAAATTGCAGTTACCACTGCAATGATCATGTCTTCATTTGAAATTTGTACTTCCGCAGTTCACATCATCTTCACATTTCACTCCTTTCAAGGGTTAAGATGAACTCAACAAATTGGCCTGCTCCGAATGTATGGGTCTTCATAGCTCAAATGGTAGAGCACTGCAGTGCTAACGCAGAGGCCATGGGTTCTAATCCCATTGAGGTCCCGAAAAAAATTTTTTCGTGTAAATTTGCAATTGCTTAAAATTGCAGTCACCATTGCGCAATCGTATCTTTATCTAAAATTAGTATTTCAGCAGTTCACATCATCTTTATGTAACATAGTTTTATTATCAATAAAGTCAATGACTTGATCAGTTTTTCAAGTTTTGAACATTTTGTGAGCCACTCAATATCAAACACTTAGAACACCGGTCAATAGGGCGAAATTTATCGCTAAACTTCAGAATATCCTGCCACTGTTTAGCATCTCGTTGAATAACAAAACTGCCTATTGTGTTAAAGCGTTCCTAAGTGGCGGGGTATTCTGAAGTTGCTCAATTTTTTGCTGCATGCCAAAAAAAGAGCTTTACGTAATGCATGTGTGATGTCTGTGATCTACAAAAAAATTAGCCTCACCACGATGATTTTACTGAGACACATTATAATGCAGCCATTTTAATGGCTGTTAGCCTCAATGCAATCCATTAAAAATGTAAAGCATCTTATTCAAAGACATTTGAAGACATTTGCAAAAGAACGCAACAGATATCGATCAACACTCCTGAAATGTATACAAATACAATTTTTCGACCTTATGCATACCAACCTGTTGGTAATCGGGAATCGTGGGAGCGAAAACGGACGAAACATTCTGGAAATCAAAATTACGATGCTGAAAAGAGTGAAAAAATTCTGCGATCCAAGGTGGAGCAGAAATCTCTCCAACACTACAATTCGTCGCCATTGTGCGCCATTGCTTTCAGTGGACTAGTCCTCAGTCTCTCTCCGACAGAAGGAAGAGTTGAGCGCAGGAAGGACCACCTGATCGTGGGTTAGAGTCGCTGTGGATTGGAGTGCGGGACGAGGTTTACTGCCATAAACGTGGGAGGCTATAGGGGTCTAGAATATGGCATCATTTATGGAAAATTCATCAATTGTATGAGCATTGGAGTTTCTCTTTCAAGGATTCTGGTTCAGAGATGTTTGGTGCCAGGTCTAAAATACGGTGGAAACTGAATTGCGCAAAACTGGGTTTTAGAGTTGATTAAGTCGATTTATCACCCCAGAAAGATAGAAAATCTGGCGTTTCGAGCGCCTAGCCCCCCATCACAGAGAACCGATGGATTGTGGGTTGTGCGTCGTTATTGTATATTTACTTTTTGAATCAATAGTCAAGTGAAACTTAAGAGGAGTATATCAAGAACAATGCACTGCGTTTAAAAAAACGAAGAATTTTCATCAAGAACGGGAAATTTTCGTCAAATTTAAATTGACATATTACATCTGGTGTAGCAGGAACGCGGCTGAGGGTGCGTTGGTTCAAGGAGGTAGAATAGAACTCGGGGTGGGGGGTACTTCCTAATAGTAAGCCAATGGGGATGTGCCGGTGAATGGGGTCTCGATTTGATTTTCACGACTAAATTGACTATTATGGGGTTGCAAATGTGACAGTTCATTTCGGGATGCATAAACAGAAAGTGACTAAGTTGGGATTACGAAAGTTACTGTTGTCCAATGGTGACTAAGCTGGGGTCACAAACCCTGCAAGAATTAACCCAAGTAACCCCCCCCCCCCCCCCCCCCAGGGAAAAAAAGATTCCTCTTTTTCTGCAAATTAGGTCAAAAAAAGGCAAAAAATCCAGGGATTTGAGAAGAAATGCGAAAAAACTTAAAACACCCGAGCTAAGGGGTACACCCTCTAAAAACCCACACAAATCAACCAAACCTTGCCTCAAGAATTCTACCCTTTTTTTATGAGGCAGTGGGGTTGTGGCTGTGTATTTGTCTTTCTTTTTTCTTTAACGGTTAATTTTATTTTTGTGGGGGTGCAAAGGTGGCATTTTAGTTCCGGATGCAAAAACAAAAAGGGACTAATTTTGGATTATGAAAATTACTGTTTTCCAAAGGTGGCTAAGCTGGGGTCACAAAACCTCCAAAAATTAACCCAAGTAACCCCCCCCCCCCCCACCTCCCAGGGAAATAGAGATTCCCTGTTTCTATGAAATTAGTGTCAAGAAAGGCATACAATCAAGGGATCTGAGAAGAAATGCGACAAAACTTGAACAACTCGTGCTAAGTGGTAACACTGTCTAAACACCACAGCAGTAACATAAACCTTGCATCAAGAATTTCATCCTTTTTTTATAACTGTTTTTATCAAATTTAGTTTTTTGGGGGGAAAAATGGTTTAGTCGCAACATTCCTCTGTGACGTTATTCACCCCCACTCGAACTAACGACCCCCTGTAAAGAAGCGAGCCCGAAAGGCTGCTGCTTTCGTAAAGTAAGGAGGGCCGTCACTTTCAGTAATATCTAATGGCTCAGAGAGAATCAGCCCATTCTCTCTTGATTGAATTAGGTCTACGATAACTGAGAAACCCGGGATGGGAAATTGTCTCTTTCCGTGTGCCCGAAGGTGAGGAATAGGCTGACAAGAGGGGAAAAACTTACTATTTCCTCAGGGGATGGGTGGTAACATTTTTACCGAAACCATAATGCACCTTGTACACCCCCTAAAATTTTGCATAACCATTGTCTTTGATTTCTCTTAGGACGAGGGAGACTACTTATGTCTTCACTCAACGCTGAAAATATTTGAGTGACAACACAAGGTTCCGCCAGACTTTATAACATAGAAAATGTGTGGAGATTAGTGGCGAGTATGGGCGTTGATATTAGGGATTAGAGGGTGCAACAAGAGATTAGAATGTTGGCGCTTGTTAACTCGCAGCAGCCTTGGCAGAGTCAAGAAACTGAACTACAAATGTCATGTCAAGCCGTTTGTTTGAAAACCATACAACGCAACGCATTAACATACATTAACAGCAAAAGCCATCCACAATAAGTGATCGAGTGCGATCAAACTCACGCTGCAAACCATAGGTCAAATAGAAATGTCATGACAGGTTGATTAAGCCTGTAAATGAAGAAATGCATGAATGGAACGTCTGAAATCTTTCACCGAAAGAACATGACTACAATTGAGGAAAAAGAAGCGAAGTCTGAAATTATCTTAATGTGACGGTAAAATTATATGTGATTGCGTTCATTAACACTGACATAAACTATCTTTTCTAATCTCACTTCTAATAATTTGTAAGCTTTGAAGCTTACAATTAAAATTCAGATGTCCCATCTTTAACCCAGGATCCTTCTGTGCGTTCCTCGCTAAGAGGAACAGAAAGGAACCTGGAACAAATTCAAACTATAACATTAAAATGAGCCAGACTCCTCAATTTTTGAACCAGTTAGATTCAAGACACTTTTTTTGTGTGTGTTTTGAATTTGAGGCTATTATGGCGAAAAATGTACTAGCGGTGTCTGGTCAAAGTTTCTGCAATGGCTAACTTCTTAAACCAAAAATTCTTCAAAGATAATAAACTACATGACGGGATTGTCCTTCACAACAAAATGTAAGACTATTTACAGCTAAAAATACAGCTAAGAGGTAAGTCACAAGGATCAAACCATAACGATATGACCATTAGATAATTTTAGCGAAAGAATATAAAAAATAAAGCCTTTACAATATTGCAAAAGGTACAAAAATACTTATATCTATTAACTCGCTTATAAAAATACAAAGCCACCATTTAACTTTTTACACCATCAGACACTAAAAGAATACAGCAAGCTGTAGCAATTTCTACTTTGCAACGCACAGTAAATTATTTACAACAGCAAAACGTTTTTTTTTGCTCAAATCTGATAGGGGGATTTTTTTCCAGCTAGCACCGTTGAGTTTTCTTTTCCAGCATCTGTCTCTGCCGGAAAAAGCCCGAGGATGAGGCAGTTATAAACACTATACCTAACTGTATGTAACTTTTTACAACTAGCTGGCGAAAAGTCACAACAAAAAGCCACCCAACAAACGCGACCGTCTATACTTCTTGGTAAGGGTTTCGCTCAGAGCGAGACTTGACAGATAATAAACACAGAAAAAAAGGGGGGGGGGGGTCTCAATTCATGTGACCTACATCCAATTTCTCCCAACAATAACACTGCCTGATCAAACAGACAGGTCATGAGGATGAATGAAATGATCAGCAAAGATGAAATGTTGTGATGTTAGAACAAATTCTCCCCAGCAGTACCATAAGGAATGTATGAAGAACAGTGTGGAGAAGATGCATATTGATCCTGGGGCTTAAACGGTTAAAGGTATTTTTTAACATCCCAGCGGGATAGCACCAGATACGAATCCGGTAAATTCGAAACACATTTGTGTTAAATTAAGACTATAATAATAACCTAACAATGTTAAGCCCCTTGATTAGGAGTGGACGGGCTACCCGCGGAAAATAGACAGAAAGACCTCTCTTGGGAAAGAGTTTGACGTTCTTCAATGTTCCAGTCGTTTGACTGTCACAAAATTCCGCGGGGGGCGGTAATTCGAAAGCGAATTTGTCGCCGGGAATGGGGAAGTAAACTCTACCTTTAATATCGAAGAGTGTCAATTTACCCCTAGGGTTCAGCCACTCCCCTAATCCAGGGGCTTAACAACGAACAGTGCATAATTTGAAAAAGGAACTACTATTCTCTGTTACTAGACAAAAGAGGAATAGGAAGAAATATGCGGGTCGCTGGATTGGTAAGTATCGTTGTTGTAAGCGTTCCTGTCCAAGTACATCACTCGAGGATCTCTGCCGTCTGACTGATCGCTTTGTTCGTCTCTATTAGACCCATAAGACGGCGATATTCTGCCTCCATACACAGGGTCTACAGTGTGATAAGATGGTGCGGGAGATACTGGTGTACCCGGAGAAGGCGGACCCCGGGGCCTTGAAGATGGATAAGGAGCTAATCGATCGGATACCAGAGGTTGAAGTTTAGGAGGTCTTCTCCGTCCTGGCTCTTCGTCATATTGAATTCTCGGGGGATTCCGAGAATCAACGAGCGTTTTAGTATCCCGGTGGTCGTTGCTACTTGACGACGCCCGATCCGAATATTTCGAGCTTCCATCAGAATCCTGAGGATTTCCTTCAAACTGGAGCGCCCTACGGAAACTACTGCTCCTCGGTTCTCTTCTGCTTCTGCGCTGAATTTCTGTTTTCGGCGAATAAGAGAAATTTCCGAAGTTAGGACGAGTTGGAGACTGTGGTGGCGAACTGCTATCATCGTTATAGTCGACCCGATCCTGCGACGTTCGTAACGCAGCCGATGGTTTTGAGGGTCTTGACCGTGAATAGGGCTCTTGACGATCGCGATAGGCTGGTTTCTGATGCCTCTGCTCGTAATCAGACGATATAAAAGATGTAACAGCTTCGAGAGGAAGTCGACCTCGTTGAATTTGATCTAAATGGTCAGCTGATTTTGCCATGTACCTGCGGCCGTCGTAAGCCGGAGGAACATCTCGTTGATCCCTCGGTAGCGACATCACTGAGAAAGACTTCAGTCCACTGGTAACCGGAATCTCGTCGGGAGCGTCGGATTCCTCCGTCGTGTGCTCGATAAGGTTTCGGTTTCTTGACGGCCTTTGTGTTGATCGAGGTCGTCCAAGGGAGTCTCTCCACGGGGAAAGACTAGGACTGTTGTTGTTTTGGTTCATGAGTTTAAGGTTAGCCTTGCGTTTGTAAGTCACCTCAGATACACCACTGTCACTATCATCAGATAGCTCTTCTTTAGATTCCACGCTACTCGCTTCCTCGTCCGCCGGTTCGGTGTCCCTGTAAGTACTGGGGAAGGAAATAAATGGGCAATTCATCAGCAGTTACTGAAAATAATGAATAAAACGATTCAATTTTCCGTTTAAACGATGTTTCAAAGTCATCTGTATTGGACCTTACATCTAAGTCTTGTAAGACGCTGCAATCGTTCCTTTGTTGTCTTTGTGGAAAGCTTATTTCACCACAAAATCCAATATTGCGTTCATTCAAAATTTCACGTTCACGAACGGAAACACACCACAAATTTTACCCTCTCAAAGGTTAAGGTACGCCGTACCACTACCATGGCTCCAGAGGTCTATTCTCTAAATACCTACGATGAACTAATAACCTGTGCGCACGGTTTGACAAAGGTCCAAGACGAAAGTTACTTTTTTTCTCAGCGATTCGGGCCTCGCTGTCCCCGCGCGGCTTCGCCGCGAACTACAGAAGGAAAAAAACCCTCTGGTACCCACGGTAAGGTACCACAAGCGCCTCCGTCATTTTTATAAGGGAGTGCCCCAGGGTTGGAGAGAGAGAGCTAACAGTATTTAATCCCGTACAAAAACACGTACATTTGTACACTTGGAAGAGTTCCACTCCGAATAGTTCCGTTCCTCGAAAATCTCATCATTTCAAGAGTGCTCTGTGTAGTAGACGGTCCTAAAGATGAGCCTTGTTGCGCTTTATCTAAACATGAAAAGAACACACGGTTAAGATGAAATTTTTTAACTCCCTTGCCCGCGCCGTCGATAATTTAGCCTTTTAGTCCCAAGAGTGAACAACGTCAATTTTCTCCTAACAATATCCATTTATAATAAATAAAAAAATAAGTAAATAATGATTTAGAGGTAGCATATCCACAAAGTGGTTCTTCGTCCACGTTATTCCTGGTCGAATTGGAATTTCGAAATGTTGGTTTTTGAGGAGAGGGGAAAACCGGAGTACCCGGAGAAAAACCTCTCGGAGCAAAGGAGAGAACCAACAACAAACTGAACCCACATATGGCGTCGACACCGAAATTTGAACCCGGGCCACATTGGTGGGAGGCGAGCGCTCTCACCACTGCGTCATCACTTGCTCCCCGATATGAAGAGAATAGGTTGCGAGAATTAATAAAATGATCACCTCAGGGAAATGCATTGATCTTTTATCACATTCTCTCAACTAATTCTTTACGGTAATGAATGAGGATCAGTCTGGAGAATTTACATGAGGATATTGGGACTTGAAGGGATAATCGGCGACACATGATTGTTAAAAGAACAACGCCCCCCATAAGTATCATTTGCAAAGCCATACATAAGAACAAAATTAATTCCTACTAAAAGTGGATTGTTTTCAGTAGGGATACGTGTGACGATGAGGGTAAATAATGCTTCATTCGCCGGCTACTACTTACCTTTCCTTCGGCGGTAACAGACAAAAATGAAACCCAGGATCAGAAATATAAGAAGGAGGGCAAAAAACACCATCAACAAAATGAACCACCATCGTTTGTAAAATATTTGTTCCTGTGCTTCGGGATCATTGACATTTCCTACAAGGATCAGATAAAACATGTCAAGAATTGATTAACAAGTAAAAACTGAATGTAGTGTACAGGGTAGGTAGATAGGACGAGGAGTTGGCAGCTACTTCATGGGCGCGACTCTCAGGTGAGAAAGTACAGTCAGCACAATCAAGTAAGAATGCTCTTTAGGGTGGATTTCCACTGCCGCGTAATTTTTGGGCGCCTGCGCACGTAAATTTTACGCGCGTAAAATAGAGGCAATGTATGAAGTGTCGCGCGTAAACGTAGAAGTTGAGAGAAGTTCAACTTTCATGTTTATGGGCGACCTATCATATAGGCCTTTCCCGATTGTCCTTGGCAACTTTTGAGCAACTTTTGGCGTTTGGAGCAACTTTTTTGCGGTTCTAGCAACCTCGAGCAAATTTTGCCCTTCTGAGCAACTTTTGAGCAAAATATAGGTTTAGAGCACATATCAAGTACGAAAAAGTCGACGATTTCATAGAAAATATCAACTCATACGAATTTCTTGAATGTTTATTGATTTTTTAAATTTAAAAATAGCGACGTTTCCAGCTATTTTTCTTGACCGATATCGGTAATTATTGTGAAGAACGAAAAATAAAGCTTTTAATTAACGTTTATATAAAAATATCGAGAAATTTAGGTGGCAACTTTTGAAATTTAGGTAGCAACTTTTTGGATTTTTTTACAATTTTTGAGCAACTCTATGGCATTCCAGTGAGCAACTTTCCAGCATTTTACGAGCACAATCGGGAAAGGCCTACTATCATACATTGCCTCTATTTCATTAACGTGCGTACGTACGTAAAAATTACGCGGCAGTGGAAATTCACCCTGGTTGAGCAAGCTTCAACTCAAATAATATTTACATGCGACGCTTCATACATTACCTCTGTTTTGTTTACGTGCGTACGCACGTAAAAATTACGTAACAGTGGAAATCCCCCTAAGGCCCACGGATGACATGCGCAGTTTCCACCGCAGCCGCTTGGACCGGACTCACGGATGGGGGCGGGGAGCATTGCTTAAAATCCGTTATAGCGTGAGTTTCTGACAGCGCAAGTTTATTTCAGTCAAACAACTGTAATTTCGTTTAGCTGGGGATGTAGTTACTATCCTAATTATCAGGGTGTCTGTTATAGCGAGCTTTTCTCAAGGCAAGAGTCTACAGTCAGTACCTTCCGCGCTTCGGAAAACAATATAATGCTCAGGCAACAAATTACCTGTAAAGACTATATCTGAAGGGTCAGACGGTGGGGAACGTCCTATTGCGTTCCAGGCGATAATCCTGAAGATATATCCTCTGTTCGGCTCAAGGTTACCCAGAGTGTAGTAAACATATGATTTATTCTTTTTAGTTTCGTCAGGACTTGCTTCCCAATTAGTTTGAAACTGCGTAGAACCTAAGAAATAAACGCAGGATGAAGCTAGATAAGGACAACGTAAGAAAACATAACAAAGATTATGGTACACTTAAGGACTTTTTAAGGTCCTTTTAGAAAACGTAAGATAAACAATTTTCTTTTCAAAGTGGCAAAACGAAAATAGGGCAAAGGAAAACTAAAAGAGGTTTACTATAAGAGATCCTTCTAAAAGAGAATTCACAAAAGTAGTTCACGGATTGTTCATACACTGCACAGGTAGCCTGCGTAGCAAGCGTTTCCGCGCGAGTTCGTCGAGAAAAGTTGGGACGAGAGCAGAAAAAAAGGAATCCCGCTCTAACTTTCGCGCAATAACTCGATTGGAAACGCTTACTACGCAGGCTCTTGCACAGGGATTTTAATTTTTAGTTCAGGGATTGCCTGCTCGTATTTGAAAAAAAGAAAAATGACTGTATTAAGACGCCATTGAAAATTTACAAAGTTAGCTGAACACTTAAGTATGCTCATTTACATTGCACAGAATTGATGGAGAGTTAACTTGTCAATTTAATTTGTTGTAATAATTGTGATAATGAAACTATCTGATAGCAATATGAATTATTGTCCATTTGTAATTAAAAAATATTCCTCTTCGACCGTGGGGAGAAAACACAATGTTTAGGGGTGATATCGTGGGCAGGTATAACTCTCCCCAGATCTCACTCGCTGTTTAAAATTGAAAAGGATTGGAGAGGGCAATCGATTCACACTGCAAAACAGACGGTAGTCTGTAAACGGTCTAAGCCTAAGTGATTTCTCTGCAGCAAGTTTACTTACCATTTACTTTTGATTGGATCTCGAATTTTTCAAATGGAATATTGCCACTATCTCCGTTTATCCAGCTAATCACAGCTTGTAAAGATCCCGGAGTGATCATAGCCACAGGCTTACCAGGTTTGCCAGGAAGTACTGCAAGAGGAACCAGTGGGATAAGTGTTACTAGCTGTATTTTACATGACAGTTAATATTTACGAGAAATTAGTCGTCTACCCTGTCTGAGGTAACATTAATAGTTTAAGAACACTATAACAGTGAGAAATCGAGAAAAACTCGCGTGAGAAGTTCATATGCGGGGAGGTAATGTTAAAATCTTACCATGCAGAGAGTGCAAAAAACCATCAACGGAAAAAGAGGTTGCTTCGTTTAAGACGCCGTTTCCATAGAAGCTCATTGCGATAAATGTAATTATGGAGTATTCACTACATAGTTATAAATAGTTCTGCGAAGCTAATGACTTTACAATCGAAACATTCAACCCACTAAACGCATACGAGCTATAATAGCAAACATAAAATGCACATGAAAGAGCAATGCCTTATATAATGTACAAACAACTTGAACTGCTACCCCGAAAATCGGAGAGCTGAAATATTCTTGATGTCAAAGAGCTCGAGTTCTATTTGCATCGTAAGGTCATTTAGGTCATAATTTATGTGAAAATGTTAAGGACCCATCTGTTACAAAGATCCCCAAAAATAAAGGGATAAATCTCATAGTTTAATAGATATAATCGTGTAAAGTTTGCTTATCATTTTCACATAAATTATGACCTAAATTTGCAAACCGCTGAATTTCTGGCATTGGGTCTTTGCGATTTTGGTGAAACTCTGTTCAACGTAAGGCACTAATGCGCACTATATGTAGCCAAGAGATTTTCACGAAAAAAATGCTGGCAACAGCAGAATTTCTACTCAGACACCAAAGAGGCGTGGCACTATAACCACGCGACATTTACTCCGATCGCCAAAAATTTTATGCTATATTGTAGATTGATCTATATGTTATCCATGCTATATGTTAGACTTACGATTAAAGTAAAGGTTGGGATACCAGAGAGCTTGAAAGTAAGCTGGTACCCCCAAAAAATAACTGGGTCGAGTCACCTTAAATATTCCTTTCTTTACGACAAGTTGCATTTTCACACTCACCTGCTGGCCCTTTTGTCGTTTTGACAAACGTCTTAGGCAAGCTGTAGCCCATAGAATTCCTAGCTCGAATCTGAAACGAGTAGTCAGTCAACATTTCCAAATCGTTTATTATTTTCTTCTCCTTGGCAGCAGAGACGATCACTTCCTTTTTCGTGTTCGTTGTTACCTTCCCGTATTCTATCTCGTACTCGATTATTTGGCCATTCGGTTCGCAAGGTGGTGTCCAGGACAAGTCCACGCGTGTATTATATACCGCGTCACTGGTGAAAACAGCTGGAGGCCCAGGTTCTAGCAAATCAAAATTAAAATATCGCTTTAACCCTAAGAGTGATTAGCATCAAATTTCTCCACGTAATTGCTTTGCTTTGCAAAACACAATGACGACAGTAATTAAGGACATGATCACTCACGATAGATGTCATTGATAATTCAACAAATTCTCCCCACTGCTTCTATAAACATATACACTATACTACTTCTATAAACTTAGAGGGAAAAAAGAATGGGAATCTGAATTTAGATGTTAGTGTTTAAAGGGTTAATGGAAATAAAACAACAGTGCAACGTCCTAAGGCGGCTGAAAGGAGTCAACACTACAAAACGTCTTTTTTTTAGTAGTTTTTCTATCTTTCAGGGAAGATGGTAAAATGGTTTTCAATTTGGTGACACTCTACGGATATCCGCGATTTTCAAGGCAGTATAACGATGGGTGTTGGAGGAAATCAGATCTTTCCGTTTACCACCCTTAAACCTTTCAGACCCAAGAGTGACCAATATCAATTTTCTCCATACAATATCAATAAATGATCAGAAGTAAAGGTTATGAGAACTTAGAAAATGATCACCAAAGGAAATATGCTTTGATCTTTTGACAAAATCTCTCAACTAATTCTTTTAGGAAATGTATGGAGTACAGTCTGGAGAATTTGTATGTGAATACTGGGGCTTAAAGGATTAGAAGTATAACGATCTTTCGTAGTTTCTTCCTACTATTTTCTATGCTCAAAACATACCAGTCTCAACCCCGTACTGTAAAACGGTTGTGGTTTTTTTTTTTTAACACAATTGACACTTTTTGATATTTCTTTACCGAATATCACCTCATCAGCTATTCAACCTCGTACTTACTATCTGCATGAGTTTTGATTTCCTTTGAAGTGCTGGGAGGACTCTCTCCAATGGAGTTATATGCTCGCACCCAGATCCTATACGTCACAAACTTTCGAAGGTTGGTAATGTTAGCGGTGGTCTGGTGAGGAGGGACAAACAACACCTTCGGCCCAGGTTCTCGCAGACATACTGGTAAGGCCCGTCTATGCCTGCTTCGTCGCTTCATACTGCGCTTCCACCTGACGGGCAACGGACGATCTTCCTTATGAACCTACAAAAAGTAGCGGATCACACGGATCTCAGCTGATACCACGGTATAAAGGATATAAAAACACAGATTGAAGATTACAGATTGAAGTTTATTGTCTTATATCAATGCGCAAATCGTGAAACAAAGCAGGGCCCTTACATAAAGACTCATTATCATGTATGCAAAGCGCAAGAATTTTTCTGTTGATTGACTTTTACGCATTTCTGTAAAAATGCTCTGCTAAGATTCTTAAGTATGATACTAATATTTCACTGTTGATGTTTATACCAGAGAGTCAAAAATTCTAGAAGAATTGAGCAAGATTAATTCGTCTCGTAGTTTTATACTAGGCAGCCGCACTGATTGAGCCTTCCCTTCCTTCCTCGCTCGGCTGAACAAAAAAAACAAAAAGGGCATAAGTTTTTGATTGGCCGCCATACCTGTAGTAACGATCGTCTGCGACGGCGATTGTCTTTCGATAATGATAGATCTTCCGCATAAACCTGATTACAAAAATCAGCCGCAAAACAATCAAATTGCAAGTCAAAAGCAAGGTATATGCCGGAAGGGGAAAGGGGCACCCCTTTACCGGGTCCAAACGGGTATGGTTTTCAGGGTCTTGAGTCTTAACAGGGTGTAGCAGTTCATTATTATTTTACCGTCTTCACCAGGGTGTCTTTCTGGACCGGAACCCTTTAAAGGAGTCTACATGGCACCAAAAATGCGAAATGGTACGACTCCAGGTGATTAAAATGGTCTCTCGTCTTCTGGGTGGCGAAATGTGCAATTTTTGCCTTAAAGTGGGTCATGGTTTGAAGGCCTCAGCGGTAGACCAGGGTTATCACTAAGATTTCAAGTTGCTGCGTAAATACGACAAGTAGCCGGGGAATCCAACAGCTATGGATTTCTTTTGGTTCTAGTTTCTTCTATTTTCCTATAAAAGTAGCCGGCGGCACGTTCATAGTAGCCGGGGGAAATCACCGGCCCCCACCCCTTAATAACAGCCCTGTACACCACTACCCAATCTTCCATTGATTGTCCTGCTCCCAGGGTAAAAGATTTAAAAAAATGAAAGTTTGTTTATAGCGGAAAGTGCGCTTAGCTTATCCAGCTAATTTACAGGCACTCCACTAACATAATTAGAAACAAATAATTCTAATTTAACACAACAGGATTAAAAACCCCAACTGACAGGAGGCAACCAGTTGGCTATTTACAAGTGTGGCCGAGGATTTGAAATCCAGCAAATGGCCAGAGCGGGACTCGAACCCGGGACCGACGGATTGCGAGTTCGACTGGCTGACCACTCGGCTACGTTTCCTCCTAGGGAGGTATAAAGCGTTTTCTATAGAGCGTTTTCACTCACGTGGCCAGCATCTATGCTTATTTATTGGAAAAAAGAAGGCGTTTCCATAAGAAAAGAGTTCAACTCCCACAGGTCTGGTTTGGAACACTAACATGGCCGCCGTTTCATTGTTTTGGAACACCAATATGGTCGCCGTGACGTGATGTGAAAATGCTCTATATCAGTTGCTCTGATGTCGATGCACCGCCATCGCTGGCACTGCTACCTCTCTAAGCTGGAGGATAGACCCAAGAATGTTATAGTCTTATTTCAAAATTCAAGAAACTTTGTAGGCAATTACATGGACGACAGGCAAAGTTGCCTGTTTGTCAAACAAATGTCTGCTACATTAAAACATTCACAATTAAATATACTTCTCTTCTAACAGTACAAACAGAGAGGGCGATACTAAAGCTAAAACGTTAAATTTACCCCTGGGGCTAAATCAAACTACACTAAAATATATTATGACATGTGGAAGCAGCAAAGAACTAACCTTGTATCCCATAAGGTGTCCATTAAAAGAGCTAGGAGAAGGAGCCTTCCACATGATTTCAATAGAGGTTCTAGTCACCCGCTCACTCCTCAAATTTGTGGGCGGATCAGAAGGGGCTGAAAAAAATAATATCAACGGTCAGGATTTGCTCCATGCTGTCCAGATAACCAGTTGAACGTACCTTGACTAGTAAAATCTATAACCATTAAATCCCAGGCCAGTTAGTTTGACAGTTTTAAAACAAATGTTAACGCAAAAAAGAAGAAATTAAATGCACCCGTCGGCAAGCTGTTAGATTGGATAACCAACTTACGTTTTTCTCCCGTGGTAACATTGTATTCAGGAGTAAAGGGGCCAGGCCCCTTCTCGTTGACAGCGGCCACCATGATTCCATAGACGGTAAACACTTTGAGGTTATTTAACGGATATTGGCGGCTGCTGGAGGGTAAGGAAACGTCAGTGAAGTCTGCTGATCCTTGTTGCCTGTATTTCACGATGAAGCCTTTGAGAGTGCCTCCCAGTTCTTGGGGCGAGGGAGCCTACACATGACAGCAAAAGAGTATATGTGTTTTCCGTTGAACGAGAACGTGTCACGTGCTACGAACACAAGTCACCAAACATATCCCTAAGAAAATTGTAAAGGACTCGCGCGTGATCGGGAAGTATAACTTGAAACCGCTCCTTTATGTTTCCCACGGCGAAAATTGAGGGTCTCAGGAAAATAACACTCTGTGTTTTCCTTGGGCCCACTCTTTATGTGCATGGTTTGAATACCGCGATTGCGCCCCCACCTTATCCCCCCACGAGACCGGCGCGGGCTGGGGAGACATAACTTGAAACCCCCCCTTTTTTTTTCCCCCGGGAAAAAGTGGGGGTTTGAGGAAAAAAAACCCTTTGTTTTTCTTTGGGCCCCCCTTTTTTTTGGTTGTTTTAAAAACCCGGATTGCCCCCCCCCCTTTCCCCCCCCCCCCCCCCCCCCCCCCCCCCCCAAAAAAAAAAACAAAACAAAACAAAACAAAAAACAACACTAAAAAGAACAGCTAACTAAACAGAACGAGGAGCAAAAGTAAGCTCTTATTGGTGCCGGTCGCTTTAACTTACATAGGGCGCATCCCAAGTTAAGAAAAAATCAGGGATGAAACAACGCGTGTTCTTGTACCTTTGAGAAAATAGAGGCGATGTCGTACTTAAGTTAGGTACGCACTTGATAAATAAGAGCGAAAGGGCAAAACCACCGAGTCAAAAGTACCCTTCGGTAGAATGTTTCCTGGGCCTTCGTTTTAGGGCATTCAACAAAACAGAGAAACAAAAATCTTACCGTCCATTCTATAAGAAGTGATGTGGTAGAAGCGGCCCGAATTCTAACATTATAAGGAGCTCCAGTCGGCACTGAAAAACGAAGAAAAAGGTCAGTCAACATAAAGGTTCCTTAGTAAAAACCGTCAGGAACATGTAGCTTCAAAGATGCTACAGATATTGGACTCAAATGATAGATGTTCTACTAGTCTTCAAAAATGTGTTATTATGTACGCTCACAAGCCAGACGAGTGGTGGTAGGAGCTAACGCGGCACTGTAGGGAGTATTACCCTTGTCATTAGTAGCCATTAATCGGAACATGTAAGACAACCGTGGGATAAGCCCTTACACTTAATGAATGTATTTTTATGTATACTCACAAGCCAGACGTGTGGTGGCAGGGGTTGACGCGGCACTGTAGGGACTATTACCCTTGTCATTTGTAGCCATTATCCGGAACATGTACGACTCCCCTGGAATGAGCCCTTCCACTTTAAAGCTCCTTGCTGTGTGATCGATGTTGGAGGAATACACTTGCCAGCCATCTACTTTTTTGTTCAGCTGTAAAGTGAAGTATCTCAAAGGGCTCTTAACATTCGAGGTAGCCTGCCATTTGACCATTATCCAACGTTCGCCAATGTCCGAGAAGTAAATGGGCAAAATGAAGGGTGCATCTGGATAGTCTGTTGTGGATCAAAACGCATGTAAGAAATTCACTTGTGACGGATTTTAGACTAGCGTCCCACGCAGACGTTCTTTTGGCTTGTCACGCAATCCTCATTCTCGAACGTTTATGGGGAAAGAACTCGTCACGAAGCCCCAAGAACGTCTGCGTGAGAGGACAACTTTAAACATGATAACCTTTTCACTGATTTCCAATCAGTTTTGGTTTAACCCTTTAAGTCCCAATAGTGACCAACAGCAATTTTCTCCTAACAATATCCATACATTATCATAAGATGAGGTTATGAGAATTAATTAAATGATCACCTAAGAGAAAATACTTTGATCTTTTATCAAATTCTCCCAACTCATTCTTTAAGAAAATGTACAGAGATCAGTTTGGAGAATTTGTATGTGGATATTGGGGCTTAAAGGGTTAATACCTTTGAGTCCATGAACGAAATCCTAGGGTCTAACCATTCAAATGAAACCACTTTAGCAGTACTTCCAGACAGTAAAATTTATTTAGTTTGAAGTTCTAATTTTTGATTTCGTGGAAATAATCTTGTGGTGTGATCATTAATTACCGTAATACCTCTTCAACGGTACTTCACATGATACTATTAATTTCGTGTGTATTTCTACGTCTTCCGCCTTTGAGCGAAATTAGCCTGTTCACAGACCCTCTATATCATTTTTAGAGATCGTCGAGCGCACATATAAAAATGAAAACCGCGGGTAGTTTATTGACCGCAGGCGCTAGGTGGTGGGGGTGAAGAAAGGAGAAAAAACGGAAAACGTCTGTGAACAGGTTACAGCGAAATCAAGTAATGTGACCATTTACATGAAACCTTTTCAGCAGTACTTTTGACTGGTTAAATTTGCTGTTCACTATATTGTAATGAAAAGGAATGTTATCTTTTTATTCGTCTTAAAGGTTGGTTTTAAGCAATTTTGGGAAAAAGAAGGTTAGGCATCAGGGCGGTTTTGATAAGAAACGAAGCACACTTGAACACAACTAGATGTTACGGCAATCAACGAAAGCCGTAGCCCAAAGTATACGATGAAGCTTTAGTTGACAGTAGCCGCGCATGTGTTGCCCGTTTAACCGCAAAACAACACCATTAAAGGCTCACTCACCAGTGGAACCACCAGTAAAAACCACTGCTTCCGCTGGTTTCTCACTCCAGCCTTGATCTGTCTTCGCCCACAGAAAGAAGCGATAAAAAGTTGCCGCGGTCAAAGGCCCAGCGATTCTCTGACGCTCGGTTGAACCTATGGAGTCAGCACTCCAAGTTTGACCAGATGAGGTTTGATTAAGGCGCCAAAGAGCTTTATATCCGGTAATGACGCCATGAGGGTATACGGGTGGGTCCCAGGCTATCGTCACGAAGGTATTGGATACAGCAGTGAAACGGACGTGAGCAGGAGGGCCTGGAGCTAAACAAAACACAAACAAGCCAGAATGAGAAACCGATCTTCAAGGAAGACACATAAAGGGGAACTCCAGGGTACAAATGGACTTTTTAATGATTGGCCTAAATCAAGTGTTCAAAAACTAGAAAATTCTCTTGAGAACTCTGCAGTTAAAAACAGCAGGATCCTGGAGAGGACAGGGAATTAAAATAATTCCTTGAGTTTGATCGTCCGGGTGAACGTAGTCCTGAATAGGACTGTTGTTGTTGACAGTGACTGACGTTTCGACAATCTGTGAGGTAGTCATCTTCAGAGTCAAAGTGAGTTGTATCACGTCAGTTGATGGTATCATACTCTGGTTATTGATCTGATTGGTCAATTACGTCGCGATGTTATTGGTCGTCTGTCAGTTAAGCCGTGATGTTATTGGCTACGAAGACACGTAATCAGTAATTGGTGCGTTTCGATCCGTCTATTGTCACAGTTAAACAGTCGTGTATTGTTAGTCAAATTGTCAGTTCTCCAGTCGTTCTCTCGTAGTTAGTTTTGCTTGATCTCGTCAATAAGTCATTTGTACGGCGCTGGTAACTGTTGGCTACGATTCAGTGGAGTTTGTTCTAAGTTAGTAAACCAGCTTTCTGAAGTAAGACGTTGATAGTAGTCTGTAGAATAGGTTGAGTTGATAAAAAAGAAAGTCATTTAACTTACTAGACTCTAAAGTGGTTGCTCGGACCGGAGAGCTCCTCGGCCCATTCCCAATGCGTGTGTAGGCAAGGACCTGAAACTCGTAAGTGACAAAAGCCTCCAGTCCCTCCAGATCGGCAGAATATGTGGCACCATGGTTTATTTGTTTTTCTTTCTCAGTATTTAGTCTGCCAACTACGCTGTAATAAATCTGCAGTCGAAACAAACTCTTAGTACACTTATAAACAATCAATTAGTACTAAATAGACCCTCTGCAGCTAGTCATCAACGTGGTACAAGACCGAAGCACTGGGACAAGATAAACAAAAGGCTTATATAATTTAATATATTTATTTTCTTTTTCGTCTTTTTTTAATAGTCATTTATTTACACAACACATGTTACAGTTACAAAGTTTAAACAAAAGAAAGTGACAATATCTCAAACTCAACAAACTTGCATGAAAACGAAAAGAATGATACCACAGTCGTAATAACTTGATAGACTTGCTGCAAAGGGCCTATTAGTAACAAAACTGGCAAAGTAACGATCTTTGAGAAAGGAAATACGATACACTTTAGCTTCAAGTAATTCTCTTGACCTGTTTTCCAATTTCTTGCGTTGTAATCGCAAGATAGAGCGGCATGGCGGAGTCAGGTCTTTTTATCCATTGACCCTCTCTTGCGCGTGCCACTGTCTACGCCTCGCGTCGTCAATGTCTTGATATGCGTGGCGGAAACGACGATAAGGATAGCCTGCGTAGCAAGCGTTTCCGATCGAGTTATTGAGCGAAACATGGAGCGAGAGCAATAAAAAATGGTAAAAATGAAAGAAGGGGGACGGAAACGCATGGTTAAGCGATATCATTAGACATGCAGTTTACCTTGTATCCAAGGATTTGGCCATTTTGTCCCACAGCAGGTACGGGTCCCCAGTTAAGTGTTACACTAGAAGCTCCAATAAATGTGGGTATGACACCACTTGGAGCTCTTGATGGTGCTACAAAGATAATATGAAATCATGAAACTGTTAAGCCATAATAAGTAGGAAAGTTTGACGCTGAGGATGGAAAATCTCTCTTTTTGACGCTTCAGAAAAGTAAGAGGGGCGGGGTATGCCGTACTACTTCGTTCACCGGACAAAAATGATGAAAAACAAAGGAGCTTTTGTTTTCTATTCACGTTTTAAGGTTGATTCGGTGTCATCTGTGTCCGGTACACGCAGCAAGAGACGAGAGAGGGCCCTGTGCTAAGCATACGGGTTCTTACCATCTTCCTGCGTCCAGGCCCACGCAACTGCACTTTTATTGCTAGTTCCTAGTCCATTTAAGTTGTATGTGCTCACTGACACTCTGTAGTGCTTGTATTTCAAAAGACCTCCGGCTCTGTAGTAGTTTAACTGGCTGTTTGGAATTTTGATTTCCAGAGTATTTGAAGAGGAAACTCCTTGAGGCTCAAATTTCATTAAAAAACCGATATAGTCACTGTTCCAAGTGTCTCGAGGTGGAATCTAATTAAAGAAGGACATAAAGAGAAGAATCACTGTACAGACTTTGAGAATTCAGCACGAGAAAAATAACGCGCTTTTAACGAAACATAGGCGCCTGTTCATCAGTTGACTTTGCACCCACCTTCCATCTTAGTTCCAGACCATCTTTGCCAACTTGAATCACAGTCAAATTGCTGGGAGGATGGGAGGGAGCTATGCAAAAAATAACAGTTAATCAGAATTATCGTTTGTAAAAATGTCAGCTAATTATCAGGCAACTTTTTCTCTCTACTGGTTTGACGACAACTGGCGAAGGAACACCCTGCCTCAGTTTGATTTTATAACTTAAAAATACAAAAAAATCGCCAAAAGTGAGGAATCCTTTAACAGTACTCAGTTACGTTTGAAGTTGAAGCCTGTATCTTATTACGATAGTTCCGTCGCTCATTTTAAAGGCAGTTTTAAACAGTCCGAGTTCTTTTTCCAAGTGATGTTTTCCCTGAGTGTTCGATAAAAGAAAAAGTGGATCCTGGATTCTCTGAAGAGGGGCTCCGAATTGAACTCGTAGAGCTGAGTCCGTTGAAACAGTTTGACTACAATGTGATTTCCATCCAACTTTATCGTTACGCGTTATTTTCTATAACCTTACATCAGAAACCATTTCCCACTTAAACTCGGTGTGAAAGCCACTCTTGTAGTTCCTAGTAAACAGCCGTGTACACGAAAGCTTACACTGCTGTTCGAATTTGAAATACATTTGCCTATATTTCCTTATTTCTGGTTACTAACTTCGAACTCCCTGTAACTCGAACTTTTCTCGATTTCCCTAGAAGGTTCGAGTTACCGGGAGTCGACTGTAGTCACCATAATCTCTGTAAACTCAGAAAAAGGCCATTGGAACCGGCTGCAAACGAAGCTCATGTAGGAGAGCCTCGACTTCAGGCTATTTCCAGTTCACTACCAACAAAACCAGGGCTCGAAATTAACGCTCGCAAACTCGCATTATGCAATTAAATTTGGTAACCTGTGAGTGAGAAAAATATCCACTAGCAAACGTTTGCGAGTTAGAATCATCCACGTCTCCCATGCAAAGGAAAAGAATTTGCTGGTGGTCTCACCAGTTTGCTAGTGGAAAAAAAACTTACTAGCAAAACTTTGCAAGTGCAAAGAAAAGTTAACTTCGAGCCCTGAAAACGAATAAGGTCTATTGCCTCTTTTGATGGTAAAATTTCCTCTTACCTGTTTCGAGCGTTTTGATGGTATCCGAGGCATTACTGGGACTGCTACTTCCAACCTTGTTTTTAGCAATAACACGGAACCTATAGTCGGTGTAGGGCTTAAGGTTGGGAAGAGTGAGTGGCAACAGGTTCCACACGAGATGAGCATCACGAATGATCATGAGAGTTTTCCATCGCGCCGAGAAAGGATCATAAAAAGAATCGTTATTGTACTCAATTGTGTAGGTCAGAATAGGGGCCCGTCCTGATGGTCCAGGGGTAAAATTAAGCACCACAGAACGCGCCGCTGCCTGTATGAACCTCAGATTGTGCGGTGCGCCCGGTCGTACTGCAAAAGAGAAAAACGAAACAAACTTAAACTTATTGAAAACAACATTCGTTATAATCCGCGTCCTTTTTTTGGTGTTCGCAGAGTTGAAAACAAAAAGGTAGCAAGCGAACGAAAAATAGTGCCAGCAATATGACGTGGGCGTCCATTACTACATTTGTAATCGCACGGGATACACGTAGTTAAATTGGTTAGAGTTAATCTAATGTTTTAAGGGTCAGAGCATACAGAGCACGTCGAGTAAAAGGGAAATACTTTTCACGTTTGTCAAGTTTAAGAGTTGTTTCTCTTTAGCTGCTTTGGCCATCCGACAAACACTACCGTCCACGTAACCTTTGTTGTAATTTATCTTAAATATACGTCTCTTGATCCGGCTGCCTCTCTTGAATAAGGTTTAAATTACAAGCAAGTATGGTTTTTATTTTACAGGGCTGTCATTAAGAGCCGGGGGCCGGGGATTTCCCCCGGCTATTAAGAACGTGGCCCCCGGCTACTTTCATAGGAAAAAAGAAGAAAAATAGAATCAAAAGAAATACCTAGCTGTTTGAATCCCCGCCTACTTGTCGTATTTACTCGGCAACTTGAAATCTTAGTGACATCCCTCTATTAGTTTTTTGTTTGTTAATTCGTTTGTTTTTTAATGTTTAAAACACATTGAACACTGACATTTAATTAATTTTAAGCACACAACCAACAAAAAAGGAGAAATTTGTCACGTGATCTTACCAGGAGATTGCGTGGTCATCGCTGACAGTTTTTTACTCGTACCAATCCCCGCTCTAGTCTGGGCAGATAACTCAACACTGTAAATAGTATTGGCACTTAACCCCGTGACAGTATATGACAGGGTAACGTTTGGGAGCGGTGTCGTGTGCGCGTTGCTTGGAGACGTGTCGTTCCTCCAGTGTTTCAGCAGGTAAGCGAGTAGGACACCGTTTACGCGCAGCGGTCGGTCCCAGCTGACCCTCAATGCATCGGAGTACACTTCGGACACTGTGAAGGATCCTGGCGCATCTGGGACTAATGTAATAAAAAAGTCGCATTTAAACACCGGAATGAGAGATTTAACGAAGTTTGTTTTCTTAGCCAGAATTATCAAGAGAGAAAAACACAATATATCTAGACAGCTTGGAAAATCTTATTAGAGGTGTGTTACAACTGCTTAAAAGGTTTCAGCGATCAATGACTGATGTCAAGGTAGAAGAAATCTTGAAGGGATTTTACGCCGGTACGTTGGCGACGTTGACCGACATTAGGGCCCATCGATTGAACGACAATTTCCCAGCTTGACAATGTGTCAGTTAAGCAATTAGCCTGCGAGCAAGCTCACCATTTGGAGGAGTCGCGGGGGTCACGCGAGAGCCGCACGCCATAGGAGACGCGAGTGCGACGGGCCGCTTGCTCGCGCGTTCCCTCGCGGGGAGGCTTACTCGCAGGGCATAAAGCAAACGAACATTTCAGAGTCAGCACAAAACTGAGCAAAATCGGTACCACCAAGAAAATGTCTTTAAAAACAAGACAATCCACCCTTCGACCCGAGCAAATGCGAACCGACGCTTCAGTTTTAGACTGAAACTTCCGTGTGTTATTTCTGAACAAATCGTCACCAAAAATCTCCGAAATTATACCAATTCTTTTACCCTCAGGGTCTGTTTATATGAGGTAAGCCGGCCCGGTGGGCCAGCCCGCCTTCCTAAATAAAGAAAACGAAATATTTATGAGGAAACAAGGCATGAGCCGAGCCAGCACGGCTTACCGGGCTGGTTCACCTCATTTACTACACAGACCTTTAGTTGAAGGTATTTCTTTTAAAAATTATTTGAATTCCTTTATCTCTCAAATGTTTCTACATTATAAATTTCCTTCTACAAAAATTAAATGCCGAGGAACTTCACATTTGAACGTGTCACGGACCTGAAACTTAATATTCTAGGTTTTTTGTACTATAACTGTTACATACTGTTACATACTTAATATTCTAGGTTTTTTGTACTATAACTGTTACATACCTCCTTCCTCAGTCTTGATAATTTTGGTGTCAGACCTAGGACTGTCTCCTGCACCGTTATAAGCTACTACAGCCACAGTATACAGCGTAAACTTTTCCAAACCAGTTAGTGTACCCCTCTGGATAATAACACTGCCGTCATGGTCTGCTACACGTTGTACGATATTGCTTGGTGTACTTCCCTTCCAAGCCTGGAGCTGTGTTCGCAAAAAAAATATATACAATATGCATGGCAATGATGAAAGTGTTGCAGAATTTAATCAGACGCAAAACCAAAAGATTTTTTTTTGCCTTTGGCACTAATTGTATGTTTTCCTGTCGTCTACAGCAGTAAGATAGGAACCTTAAGATCCAAGAAGGGCGACGGCCATGAAAACGTGTCTTAAAAAGTGTGCGTTCTTTAAATCTTCATCGCGATTATTCCAGCTCACTCACTTTGTCAAAATGTAGGCGAACTCTCCTGGAGTTCACGCCAGTTACTTGTTTTCCTACCCCGCTGTTGTACACTGGTTAAAAAAATTTACAATAGCGACTAAATTCAAAAAACAGTTTAACATTAGGGACCTTAAGATCCGAGGACGGCGACGGCAGAGAAAACAATCAATCAATCAACAACTTTATTTAAGTGTCTAGTCTTCTAGCTTGCCGTCAGGCCTACTAATCGGGGACACTACTTAAATAACTTATTAATAAGGAATATATATACATAATACTATAAGCCAATAAGATTTAACTATTCTAAAAACTACTTAAAAGATACACGATATTCAATATGCTTCGAAAAAACACCTATGTAATAAATTAGAAAAAACTATATATACAATTTCATAATATATCAACTCTACCAGTTATGATATTTCCTGTTTAAGAATTATGAGTCACACAGGTGGCACCCTTTGCATGCGTTATCACTAACATTCTAGTATGTTGTAAGGCAGTAATCTATTCCTTATTTTGAACATAAAGATAGCGATATCTTGTAATCTCATGTTATATAGACTAGTCATTCCAGCGTGTGTAAGAAGGTCACCATAAGGAGAGACTCGATTTTTGAAGACTGTACGTAGTCCTCTCTCATTAATTCTCTCTAGCTTGTTTCTGTCGCTTGCTCGACAAAAGTGCCACACCAAGCTACAGTATGTGAGTATGTGAAACGTCGCTGAAAAAGTGAATTCGCGTTCTTTCAATCTTCATCGCGATTACTCCAAGTCACTAACTTTGTCAAATGTAGGCGAACCCTCCTAAAGTTGAATTCCTTAGAACCATAGTCAAGTTCAGAAAGAGAGAGGAAATTTCGACGTCGCTTGTGTACTTCCTCTGTACATCGTGAAATTAGGCATTTTCACGTCGTAGTCGTGCAGTAACGGTAAAGAAATGTAGAAAAAAGCGTGATGCACGTGCAAAATTGTTGTTTTGCTAATTAAACCAATTGCTTTTGTGGCGTTCCCGTTGCCGTCGCCGTCGTCGGATCTTAAGGTCCCTATTATCCTGCCCAAGAAGAAGAAGAAATTCAGAAGTATTTTGGGCTGTTTCTTTTCTCCGGCGAGAAAATGCCCAAAACGAGAAGTTTAATTTCAGTTGGCCAGTGAACTAAAGCCATGAGAAGTCGTCCACAGACTTGACAATTAAATAGAACTAAATTTCACGCCTCTACAATTGACCTTGTAAATGAAACGATTGACAGCCCTCCTCCAACGCATCTACAGTGGAACCTCGATTTAACGAACCTCTGTAAAACGAAGTCCTCGGTATAACAAACGGTTTTCTTTAGCCCGGCCAAAATTACAGTAAAATGTATAGAACAGGACCTGGATTTAAAGAACGTTGATTTAACGAAATCCTCGTTATAACGAATACAAACCAGAAGCGCAATCGTGAAATATACCTCGTAATATAACGAATAAATGTCAACCTGTGATAGAAGATGACAGCCAAACAGACCAACATGGATAAAATATATGTGTACAGTAGTTTTGTTTGCCTGTTTGTGTGTTTGTAGTGCCGTAGCTATATACAGGTCGGTATTACAGTAATTGTTCAGATCCGGGAATGCTGGGTTTTTTAAATTAATCATTAACTATACCTAGATATAAAGAACATTTTGGTTGTTTTTTCGGAAATTCCGGCGTTAAATCGAGGTGTTCGATATAACGAACCCTCAATATAACGAGCAAATTTCCCACGTCCATGAGCACTTCGTTAAATCGAGGTTCCACTGTACAAAAATAGCGATAGACCCAAGTACCTTGTATCCTCTAATACGGCCATTCTGTTGTTTCTGGGGCGGTGGCTTCCATTGCAAGACTACACTGGTGGTCGTAATGTTGATCACAGTAACTTCTTGCGGGGATGCTGTGGGCACTGAGAAATAGAGAAAAAATAAATAACAAATTGTCCGAGCACTTTCTCATTTTTGAAGCAGGAACAGGTAAGTTGTAACCCATACACGTGTAGAGAGAAATTTGACTACTTAAAGAGCGCACAATGGTTTTGATGCTAGCAGCTAATTGAGACCTTGAAGACCTTGAGTCTAATGTTGATGATATTTTGTTTGTTATATCACTATGATGACGACGATTATTATTATTTTACATTGTTCTCACTATCTGTTTCTCATTGGCTAAGAGCCAACAGTTCATTTTCGAAATCAGCGCCACTTACAGGTAAGTATATCCGCCAGCAAGTAACTGAGCTTACCTCGACCTTTATTCTTGCGGATGTCACAAAAACCTCACACAATAATTGTATATTATCATAATTCCTTGACTTCTTTGTAAATTGTAAATTGTAAATATCTTATTATCCACTCCCCTCAGGGCTTTTCAGGGATAATTTACAACACTGGTTGTGGAACTTTGCCAGACTGCTTAGGTGCAGTTTACAAGTAATGAAGGAATGAGTAATGATGCCCCCATACATGAGTGTGAAAGTGAGATAGACGACTACACCGGGCACTACGTGCCCTACTCTTTACGAAGAGTGTGTGGGTTCTTTAACGTCCCACAGATTTATTACATGTGCAAGGGCTTGTTAGACGGGTCCAACGGTTTATCGTCCTTATTCGAGAAGACTAGAAAGTCTAACCGTTTGCAGATTTGATTACAAAGGCAGCACTTTCTCCTCAGTTATTTAAAGACCCTGAGTGTTGGTCCGGCGGGGGTGAACACGCGACCTCCCGCTCAGCCGACCGGCGCTTATCCCATTGAGCTGACCGGGCGGCGGTTTTCTACTCACCCCCTTCCGCTGTGGTTACAGGAGTAGTTTGACTGTAAACGCCGTCTCCAGCGTCATTGTACGCCAGTACTTTAACTTCGTACGAGGTGAATTGCACTAGTCCGTCGATGTTTCCTTGAGTGGCAGCGGGGTTCTCGATCTTCTTGATAATAAACTGAATTCCAGCCACTCCCGCTAGACGGTAGGCTATCTTGAAACCACGGAGCGGACCATTGTGGCTTTCAGCCGGAGGAATCTGAAATGATAAAGAGAGCCTTGGAAAAGTGCTTCTGCTTCTTAATAAACCCGGGAACAACTATGAATCCCAAAAATCTCATCTAGAGTAAACGTAGCATCGATCTACATAAATTACGTTTATACCAATTTGATACATTTTATATCTTGCGGTAAAATAGGAATACAGAAAGAATACATATGGTGGAGAAAATTACATCACGTTACTGTCTGTCAAGTCTTTTCTCTCAGAGTCAAACCGGCTTGAGTTCTGTCATGTGATACTGCTCAGAATGTCATGTGGACTGAAAATGAAAGCTACTTCTTGAGCAATGCTTTTCTGTATTAGTGTATATCACGCTGTGCAAGTTGGTTCACGCTATTTAACAATTATTCCTCGAATCCGAATGGGCTATTGACTCAGAGGCCATGAGGGCGAGAGGAATGATTGTTTTAGTAAAATCCAACTATTTGGTCAAAAATATCGAGACAAAACAACTTTAGCTAGCAAAACGCGATTTAGCCGTCATTGTTTTGGTTTTCAAAGCCGGCGCTTTTCGCTACTAGTGGGCTATAACATATAGCCTAGTAGTAGCTGAACCAATCAGAACGCAGAGTCGATAATAGACCACTAGCTGGATTTTACTAATGATTCTGAGACCATTCAAACGAAAACTACAGAGGAGTACTTTTCCGTGGTGCAGTTTATTTTGTTGTGCAAGGTTGTGCAAACCATTCATTCTGTGGTTCAAATGCCGAAGTGTTACGCTGGAGAGCAATACTTTCTTGCCGATGTGGTACTGTTTTTTATGCTGTAAAAGGTGGCTCTCGCGTATACTAAAATGTCTAAATGAAATCCTACAGTGACCCTTTCCCTAACTCCAACGCACGAAATCAGTACTTTTTACGCGATCGTTTATTTGACAAGTTATATGGGACTTCAATTAGTGGCTTGAATCAAAACATACCTGCCACTGCACGAGGATGGAGTCAGCGCTGATCGGTACACCATTGACATTGGTAGGGGGTTGTGAAGGTGCTAAAAACACAAAATCATTAAATATCAAAGACACAAATCAACATTCCGGTGACCTCCTATTACACTTTCCACGACATTTACGACAAACAGAAGAGTTGACCACGTGATTAGTTTTTCCCGCCATTTTTCACGTTTGCCATTTTCAACGCCACGAAGTTGGTTTGTCACGTCCATGAAAACCGCGCGTTAGATTTACGCGAGTGAATAAAATAGAAGCAGTGTATACAAGACTGAGCGTAAACGTAAAAGTTGAACCTCGCTTAACTCAGTTTTAGGGTGGATTTCCACTGTCGCATAATTATTACGAGCGCACGCGGCGGGTAACTCGCCAACCTTCAAGAAATCGAAAACTTTGGTCTTTGGATCAATCCAGAAAAAGTTTTTATTAAAATTTATTAAAATTGTGCCTTTATGTGGTCGTTAGTTGGACCCGGCAAAATGGACAGTAGTTTTCACTGACGATGTCGTCGTTAGAATTTGCTGGGATTACTCTTCTGTTCTTTTCGAGTGACACTGCGACAAAAACAATGATTCCATGCCTAGCTGGATTTTTGAAAACGTTACTGCCAAATATTCCTCTTCCAGTGTCAAGCAGTTTTTTTCTCCAGAGTAACCAATATAAAAACCAAGAGCGCAAACATTACATTTTCTCTCTCCTCCTCCTCATTTCTGTCTCCTCGCTCTTGCTATTACTCCGTCCCTTTTCCTCCGTTAGTGTGATTTTCGGCCTTATCGGACACAAGAAACCTGCCTTTTGGCCCTTTACCACTCAGTTGGCTGTAAATTTCGCTAGGTTCGTTTTCAAAGATCCGGATAGATATAAATACTTAATTCAATAAAGGATGCTTTGGCATTGGTCATTTGTGCATACGAACATCAGTGCAATGATTTGCTTCGGTGACCACCAAATAATAGGGAGTTAAAGCAACAAGGACGGCGACGTCAACGAGAAAGACAAAAAAGCAATTGGTTTAGATTAGCAAAACAACAACTTTGCACGTGCATCACGCTTTTTTGCACATTTCCTTGCCGTCACGGCACAACTTCGACGTGAAAATGCCCAATTTCACGTTTTGTGGAGGACGTGAACCTAAGACAACGACTTTCTTTTTCTTTTCCTCAACTTCGATACACTCTTCTGGAATTCACGCCAAAAAATTGCTAACATTTGACGAATTGAACGAGATAGAATAAGCGCGATGAGGTTCAAAGTGACGTTTTCGTGGCAGTCACCGTAGTTGTTTAAGCTCCCTATTAGCTTTCCAGTGCATAATTCAAAACGCCCAAAGCAACCTTCACTGAATCAGCTTTATTCAAAAGGTATGATGCGTTCAGGAAGTACGCCTTACCAGCTATGAGGGTCATAATGCTGCCAGACGCTGCACTCGCCGCACCCACCCCTACTTGATTGACAGCTTTAACACGGAACTGGTACTGAGTGTGGGGTAGAAGATTACGCACGAGGATTGACATCTGTCTGTCAGATGGATTGATGTTGTCAACGTGCTGGCGCCAAGGATTAGAGCCCGCCTTGGCGTCAACAACGTAGGATATGATGGGACTGTTTCCATCATACCCCGGAGGAAACCAGGACAGACGAACTGACGTAGGCTGGATGTTACTCACTACAGGTGTACTGGGAGCAAGTGGTGTTTCTGGAAAAACAAAAAAAATTAGTCAATGGGGAGCTTAAAAAAAAGGAAAGGCGGTTTTGAGCGTCACAAGTCAATCAGAGGAGTACTATTTGCATTTTTGAGCAGTGGTTTTGCCCACATTTTCAGGCAAATCGTCTCCATGAGAGTAAAGACATTCAAGGCTTCATTCGCTAATGCACTTTCTGAAGGTAAAAATCTACTGACTAAGGTTTCGCGTCAATGGTCTGATTGTTATCGCGGTGTTGGCCTCATGTGGCCCGGGATCAAAATCCGATGTCCTGTTAACAAATAAATTTTGTCCGTCTATGCTGCACAACAGAAGAACACCTTTGAACATAAAAAAACTGTACACAAGCATAAGGAAGGGAAGAGCATTGCAGGCAATATACAAGTACGCACCTTGTACGCTTAGCGTACCGCTGGTTGTGGCATTTCCCGCCACAGACTCCACACGACAGACGTAAGTCCCAGCATCATTTTCCCGCACAGTGTTAATTCGGAGCGTTCCATCATTGAGTAGCGTCATCCGGGACGTATCAACTGGGCTTCCATCCTTTGTCCAGCGCCAGTGGACTGATATGGCAGGGTCCGACTGCACGGTACAATGAAGATCTTTTCGCGCGCCTTTGATGGCTGTTATTTGGCTTGGCAGTGGATTAGTGATCAACGTTTCGACTAGAAGAAACAAAGGATATTTACAGTAATATTAACTATTTTTAACTTAGGTGTCAAGGGTGACTAATCTCTATGCTCTGGTCACCAATCTCCTGTAACTACCTTCTGGCGGTGCACACCATTTTTCAGTTCACTCGCGAATAAATAGCGCGGCTGAAGCGCCTGGAAATGATGTTGATGGAGGGTCTATTGCCCAAGCAGCCTCGTTTCCAGGCCAATATACCATCGATTAACCTCGTTGCCAAACAAATATACCACGGAATCGAGGCTTTACTGATCACATCTTCCAAATTTGTTCAAAGGAGGTCGGTTTGAAGAATTAGCCGAGGGATTTGAGCGAATCAAAAACGACGAAATATTTTGAATGAATAATAACACGATTAATTATAACTATAACAAAATTCTCAAATCTGATTGGCTATCAACTGCCCTGATTTCAGCCTTAACAGGACAATTTAATGGGACAATACGCGTCACGCCTAAGTAATTGGACAGTACGCGCCATCACGTGCGCGCTTAAATGGCTTTTTTTCACTGCTAGCAAAAAAAAAAATTGGAATTTCTTCTGTTTTGATTTTAAAAAAGAGCCTTATATATCAAAAATTTTGTTAAAGTTATGATTAATTGTTAACAGAACTTCGTGTCGTCCAATTCAGTCTGTAACCATACTCGTGATTAAACAAATCGGACTGATTTTGTTAATCACTCGTATGATTACAGACCGAATTGAACTCCACTCAGTCCTACGGTGGCCCGCAACTGTCACGGCAAAACCAAAAACCTCACGGCAAAACCGAAAACCGTGAGTTTTTTGGTTTTGCCGTGACAGTTGTGGGCCACCATACAGTCCTGTTACCATTGTACTTATTAAGAGGGCTCCTGTTGATTGAAGTGAGGTTTACTGCACCTCTGGCATTCGCCTCAACTCCAAGCTAGTCCCTGTTTACTACCAAGAAAACGAACACGGTCTGTTGACATCGTACTTACTCAAGATCGTAAGAGTGGCATTAGCCTTTCTGTACCCCAGACTATTAGTAGCCACGCAAGTGTACTTTCCACTGTCGCTTTTCTGGCTCATGCTAATCCGCAGAGAACCGCTGGACATCTTCAGATACCGCGGATTGCTTTGGAAATTAATAGGTACGTCATTCTTTTGCCATGATATCGAGGGTGTAGGAGTTCCTCGCCCAACGCATTTCAACTCTACGGTTTCATTGATCAAGGCATGAGTATTTTTGGGTGGAACGTCAATCCATACGTCTAAAGCTGAAATAAAACACACGGTACCAACAAACTAAATTTAAATACTTTTAACCCTTTAAACGCTAAGATCAAAATTTTACTTCTCATTTGTTGCCTCATTCAGTTCCTACAGAAGTAGTGGGGAGAAGTTGATAAAATATCAAGCAAATTCATATCGCGTGATCATGTCTAGAATTCTCATGACCACTCTGTTTTACAAAGCATTGATATTACAAGGAGAAATTTAATGCTGATCACTATGAGGGCTTTAAGGGTTAAAGAGGCTGTGTCACGGCAGTGATTCTATTTCATTTCGCACATATTGCTAGTCACGCTTCCTTGTGCGCCATGGAACTTAACGTTCGTGACGATATTACTTGTAAACGGAAAAATCATAGCTTCTTGTCAAAAAAATGTGTCTCCCAAGCCTTATATTAAACGTTACGCGACGTTACGTGTTAGGGTTGATTTCCACTGTCGCATAATTTTTACGTGTGTACGTGCGTAAAATTTACGTTCGCAAATAGAATAGAGGCAATGTATGAACGGTCCACGTAAACGTTAAAGTAGAACCTCGCTCAACTTCACGTCTAATCTCAACACTTTATATTTTGCCTCTATTTTATTTTCGTGATTAAAATTTACGTGCGTTAACGTGCGTAGCCAAAAACGCGTCAGTGGAAATCAACCTTCAGGCTAGCAAGTTTTCAAAAACCCACAATTGCGATCGGTTTTAATCTTCTTCACGTTTGTCCATCCGTGTTTTCGGCGTTATTGATTCCTTCTAATAATGTTTTCAGCGGCTGTTTTCATTTTTCACGCAATTTAGTGGTATTCCTACTGTTATGATTATCAAAAAATTCATGACACAGCTCTTTTAACCAAAGAAAGATATAGAATTACGTTCACGACTTACGACAAAATTCAGATTCACCTTGACGATTTCCCACATTCGAAAACAAGGGCATTCAAAAACGATGTAAAACAATTCTTGTTGATAAACCTGATATGAAATTAATTTATGTCTGCGTGTTACAATTAATGAGCAATGTTAATTTCGTTGCCGTCCAGACACAACTCCGACGTGAAATGACCAAATTTGGAGTTGACTTGAAAAGGGGAATGGCAAGGCGATAAATTTTGCTCTCTCAGTCCAACTGGCCTACTTTTAAGTAACTGGATGACTTGGTTGTAAGGGGCAAAAAGTGGGAAAGGACGCGAGGTCTTTTTTTCAGCGACGTTTTCACTGGCGTGGCCGTTGTCGAATCGTAAGGCCGAGTCACCACCACAAACTTATCTCGTTTTGAAACCATAAACATACCGTAAAATTCCGAAAATAAGCCCCGGGGCTTATTTTTTTTCAAAGGCCCTTTTTGAGGGGCTCATTTTTGGAGGGGCTTATCTACGGAGGAAATTGGCGTTTCAAAATCGATTGGGCTAGCCTTATAGTTGGAAGCAAATTTACCGTTTTGGCTTTGTTTTACTTTGTATTTGAGGGCAATTTTCGGCCAAATACAAGCCCCCGGGGGGCTTATATTTGGAGGGGCGATTTAACGGAGGGTTGTTTGCGTTACCGGTTTGGGGCGCTTATATTTGGAGGGGCTTATACATGGAGGGGCTTATTTTCGGAATTTTACGGTAATAGACAAACTTACTTTTAATATTTAACCCTGCGGCTGATATTGCCTCGCCAGCGTCATTGGTAGCCACGCACTGCACAGTGCCTGCATCTCCAGACTGAAGGCTTGTGAACTTCAGATCTTTTTTGCTGTTGATTTGAATTCTCCCGGCGGGTGATGGTACAACTTTTGCCCCATTATGAAACCACGTGATTGTTGGCTTTGGGATTCCAGTTGCGTTGCATGCAAATATCGCTGCTTCTTGAGGATACTTATTTATATTTGATGGGGTGACCCTGAATGTTGGTTGGTCTATAAAAAATAAAAGAATATAATATGAGAAGGCATTATACATATTTTCACGTGACTCAAAGGAAGTCACGTGATCATCCGTCACCTGAGAAAGGCGCTGACGCAGCACCAAAAGCTCGTGAGCGCTAAGCGTTTTTCTTTGCCTGCGAGCAAGCTCTCCATATGGGGGAGTCGCGAGATGTCACGCGAGAGCGGCACGCGAAAGAAGACGCCAGTGCGAGGGGCGGGAAAAGAAAGGGAGAGCTCTCCTTTTCCTCCGCCCCTCGGGGCTTCCCTGCTCGCTCGCTCGCTCGCTCGCTCGCGCTCCCTCGCGGCTAGCTTTGTTCGCTATACTTGGAGATCTTGCTCGCAGGCTGCGTTTTTCTGCGACTTTGAAAAGAGAAAGATTTGTATCAAGTTAACCGGGTAATGAATTGACAGCCACTAAAATACGCCACACCAGATTTGCCGAATAGACGTGCAAAAGTTTGTGACATCACAAAGCTTGGTACCAATGATGTTTGGTGGTAAGGCGTTATGACCGTAAGAATTCTTGGAAAGTTTAAGAGTCGGTATTGGAAATTCAGCCCGGATCAATAAAGCTAAGGAGAATGGTCTCACTCTCCAGTATTTGCGTACAAATCCTTCAAAAAACCTAAACCTAAAAAGAGACCTTTTCTTGAATGTCAAGTCTGAAATCTTGTATGTACATTGATCTTTAGCCGCGAATCCGACCTACATGAATTTCACGCTCAACCTTGAGGATTCCTTTTCATCGTTGAAGGTATTTCGTCTTGAGATTGTTACTACTTGAGTTACTGAACATATAAGCGCAATGACAACATAATGTTGAAAGCAATGCCAAAAATGTAACACAGAAAAATCTACTTACCAAAAACTGTCAGATTCGCTTTGCTTGTTCTCGGTTGAGGGCTCTGGGAACTGGTCACATGACATTCATAATCGCCCTCATCAGCTTTGCTTGGATTACGTATAGTGAGTCTCTTCTTGTATTGATCAAAAGAAAATTTTGAACCACTATTAACTGTCTGTCCATTTTTTCTCCAAGATATGGTTGGCATGGGTCTGAGGCAAAATAAAAGAGTTTTGATCAAAAATGGATGACACTGTCATTCATACTATCATTCATTGTGATTTTTAATCTAACGTAAAAGGTAAAGGCGCACACGAGCCAAAGGCCCAAACGCCCGAAGCTTAACACGGTTTCCTTAATATGAAGCATGCCTAGGAGTATTGTTACTCTCCCCTGGATGAGATGCTAGTCCATTGCAGGGTTACAACTCGACGGGCGACCCTCGAACCCTGGTCCTCCACCTCTGGAGTTCAAGGTGTTAACCGCTTAGCCACACACACCTCCTCTACCGATATAAACTTCAATACAAGTATATTAAGCACAACAAAAGTTTTTCAAACCACACACTGCAATTTACCCCTATAGTTTAATTTACTCTGTGACATATATAAATCACTAAAAGTAAGAATATCGTAGGAATACTTGTAACTAAATAATAGTACTTAGGTTTATGTGATGTAAACTGTACAACTACATGTAATAAAGCTACTACAATCTGTGCATGCATGTGAATGTATGGTAAGTTACAATTTAAAGCAATATGGTCTCTACTTCCACAATTCTACTAAAAAGTTACCTTCCACTTCCAAAGCATTCAAATACAACGCTGGAAGTTTGTCCACTTATTGCAACTTGGTTGATTGGTCCAAGAATAATTTCTGATTGTGGTGGCACTGGATCCCTTACTGTAACAATCCCAATCAAAATAACAATAATTTGTGAAGATGACTGACTATAATCATGGTTATAAGTTCTCAACAAAATAAATATGAATCTGCAACTCCAGGTTCTCACCCAAGGGAAAGCTTTACACTAGAACCAGATTATCTCTCCAAGATAGGTACTATCTCTCTTAATTTTGTAATACCATAGGAGGGTGTTCATTTTGGATAAATAACCCACCTCAAGTGTGAAAATGGCCCAATATGCTGTATACAATTATTGGAGCTAATATTTCTTCCCAAGACGAAATCTTTGACACCCTTGTTTAATGTGATCCCTAACATTCTTTATTCATTCTACACTTAACATGTTCTTCTATCGCAGTGTAAAGTTGTAAACACTTCCTGTGTACCAAAAGGATCTTCTGAATTTTTGTAATATTAAACGTTACGCGACGTTACGTGTTAGGGTTGATTTCCACTGTCGCATAATTTTTACGTGTGTACGTGCGTAAAATTTACGTTCGCAAATAGAATAGAGGCAATGTATGAACGGTCCACGTAAACGTAAAAGTAGAACCTCGCTCAACTTCACGTCTAATCTCAACACTTTATTTTTTGCCCCTATTTTATTTTCGTGATTAAAATTTACGTGCGTTAACGTGCGTAGCCAAAAACGCGTCAGTGGAAATCAACCTTTAGGCTAGCAAGTTTTCAAAAACCCACAATTGCGATCGGTTTTAATCTTCTTCACATTTGTCCATCCGTGTTTTCGGCATTATTGATTCCTTCTAAACATGTTTTCAGCGGTTTTTTTCATGTTTCACGCAATTTAGAGGTATTCCTATTGTTATAATTTTGAAAAAATTCATGACACAGCTCTTTTAACCAAAGAAAGATATAGAATCACGTTCACGACTTACGACAACATTCAGATTCACGTTGACGATTTCCCACATTCGAAAACAAGGGCAGTCAAAAGCGGTGCAAAATAATTCTTGTGGATAAACATGATATGAAATTAATTAATGTTTGCGTGTATACAATTAATGATCAATGTTAATTTCGTTGCCGTCCACACTCAACTCCGACGAGACCAGATTTGGGGTTGACTTGAAAACGGAACGGCAAGGCGATAAATTTTGCTCTCTCAGTCCAACTGGCCTACTTTTAAGTAACTGGATGACTTGGTTATAAGGGGACAAAAAGTGGGAAAGAACGCGAGGTCTATTTTTCAGCGACGTTTGTGGTCGAGTCACCACCACAAACCTATCTCGATTTGAAACCATAAACATTAAATAGGCAAACTTACTTTTAATATTTAAACTTGCGGCTGATATTGCCTCGCCAGCGTCATTGGTTGCCACGCACTGCACAATGCCTGCATCTCCAGACTGAAGGCTTGTGAACTTCAGTTCTTTTTTGCTGTTGATTTGAATTCTCCCGGCAGGTGATGGTACAACTTTTGCCCCATTATGAAACCACGTGATTGTTGGCTTTGGGATTCCAGTTGCGTTGCATGCAAATATCGCTGCTTCTTGAGGATACTTATTTATATTTGATGGGGTGACCCTGAATGTTGGTTGGTCTATAAAAAATAAAAGAATATAATATGAGAAGGCATTATACATATTTTCACGTGACTCAAAGGAAGTCACGTGATCATCCGTCACCTGAGAAAGGCGCTGACGCAGCACCAAAAGCTCGTGAGCGCTAAGCGTTTTTCTTTGCCTGCGAGCAAGCTCTTCATATGGGGGAGTCGCGAGATGTCACGCGAGAGCGGCACGCGAAAGAAGACGCCAGTGCGAGGGGCGGGAAAAGAAAGGGAGAGCTCTCCTTTTCCTCCGCCCCTCGGGGCTTCCCTGCTCGCTCGCTCGCTCGCTCGCTCGCGCTCCCTCGCGGCTAGCTTTGTTCGCTATACTTGGAGATCTTGCTCGCAGGCTGCGTTTTTCTGCGACTTTGAAAAGAGAAAGATTTGTATCAAGTTAACCGGGTAATGAATTGACAGCCACTAAAATACGCCACACCAGATTTGCCGAATAGACGTGCAAAAGTTTGTGACATCACAAAGCTTGGTACCAATGATGTTTGGTGGTAAGGCGTTATGACCGTAAGAATTCTTGGAAAGTTTAAGAGTCGGTATTGGAAATTCAGCCCGGATCAATAAAGCTAAGGAGAATGGTCTCACTCTCCAGTATTTGCGTACAAATCCTTCAAAAAACCTAAACCTAAAAAGAGACCTTTTCTTGAATGTCAAGTCTGAAATCTTGTATGTACATTGATCTTTAGCCGCGAATCCGACCTACATGAATTTCACGCTCAACCTTGAGGATTCCTTTTCATCGTTGAAGGTATTTCGTCTTGAGATTGTTACTACTTGAGTTACTGAACATATAAGCGCAATGACAACATAATGTTGAAAGCAATGCCAAAAATGTAACACAGAAAAATCTACTTACCAAAAACTGTCAGATTCGCTTTGCTTGTTCTCGGTTGAGGGCTCTGGGAACTGGTCACATGACATTCATAATCGCCCTCATCAGCTTTGCTTGGATTACGTATAGTGAGTCTCTTCTTGTATTGATCAAAAGAAAATTTTGAACCACTATTAACTGTCTGTCCATTTTTTCTCCAAGATATGGTTGGCATGGGTCTGAGGCAAAATAAAAGAGTTTTGATCAAAAATGGATGACACTGTCATTCATACTATCATTCATTGTGATTTTTAATCTGCTAATATAACGTAAAAGGTAAAGGCGCACACGAGCCAAAGGCCCAAACGCCCGAAGCTTAACACGGTTTCCTTAATATGAAGCATGGCTAGGAGTATTGTTACTCTCCCCTGGATGAGATGCTAGTCCATCGCAGGGTTACAACCCCCCCCCCCCTCCCCTGCAGTATGTCTCCAGTACCCATTTATAAACCTCGGTGAAGAGAGACAAAGTGGAGTAAAGTTCCTTGTCTCAGGAAACAACTCGACGGGCGACCCTCGAACCCTGGTCCTCCACCTCTGGAGTTCAAGGTGTTAACCGCTTAGCCACACACGCCTCCTCTACCGATATAAACTTCAATACACGTATATTAAGCACAACAAAAGTTTTTCAAACCACACACTGCAATTTACCCCTATAGTTTAATTTACTCTGTGACATATATAAATCACTAAAAGTAAGAATATCGTAGGAATACTTGTAACTAAACAATAGTACTTAGGTTTATGTGATGTAAACTGTACAACTACATGTAATAAAGCTACTACAATCTGTGCATGCATGTGAATGTATGGTAAGTTACAATTTAAAGCAATATGGTCTCTACTTCCACAATCCTACTAAAAAGTTACCTTCCACTTCCAAAGCATTCAAATACAATGCTGGAAGTTTGTCCACTTATTGCAACTTGGTTGATTGGTCCAAGAATAATTTCTGATTGTGGTGGTACTGGATCCCTTACTGTAACAATCCCGATCAAAATAACAATAATTTGTGAAGATGACTGACTATAATCATGGTTATAAGTTCTCAACAAAATAAATATGAATCTGCAACTCCAGGTTCTCACCCAAGGGAAAGCTATACACTAGAACCAGATTATCTGTCCAAGACAGGTTAGAAGGGTACTATCTCTCTTAATTTTGTAATACCATAGGAGGGTGTTCATTTTGGATAAATAACCCACCTCAAGTGTGAAAATGGCCCAATATGCTGTATACAATTATTGGAGCTAATATTTCTTCCCAAGATGAAATCTTTGACACCCTTGTTTAATGTGATCCCTAACATTCTTTATTCATTCTACACTTAACATGTTCTTCTATCGCAGTGTAAAGTTGTAAACACTTCCTGTGTACCAAAAGGATCTTCTGAATTTTTGTTTTGAATATCTGTATAATTGTAGTGTCTGAAGTGATCCTCAAGAAGTCTGGACAATCCTCGTAAAGTTTGATTTGTCAGTGACTTTTTGGGAGAGAAAATGCATCAGTAAAGGAGAGAGGAGAGAGGGGGCATCAGAACGAGAGATAGATGTGAATAAAAGGAAGAGCTAAACAATTTATACAAGTAGGGGTTACAAGGGTGAAAGGTGACCTCCCAAAACCTATATATGGTACAGCTTGTAAAGAAAGTCGTGTCTGACAGCCCGAGACTAGTGGATTTTGTTATCAGGCTGGTGAATTCTGTTCTCAACTTGCCCAACAGGCAAGTGAAGTTTTTTTAGGGGACTGTAATCAATCCTGCTCACTAAAAAATTTTTTCAGGTTAATTAAATTACTCCTGGGCTAGTACATGCTAGTTACAGCTTGCACAAATGGCAAGAGGTAAAACTGCAGAAGTGTTCTACAGGTTTGAACAGCTTAAACCAACCTGTAAAACTTAATGAATTAGGGCCACGGTAATAGTAACTTCCAGTCACTGAATTCCTCACAGTTGATTTGTACGAGGCTAAATCACCAGTATCTACATTTCCAATGTATAGGTTGCCAGCAGCAGAAATGCTTATCCGCTGGTCCTCCTGCAGTGCATTGTTATCTTTTGTCCATGTAAAGGTGGGTTTGGGATAGCTTTCAACTTCAGGATATGCAAAAACAAGTCCTCCTCCTTCAACCGCACTTGTTGTGGAAGCACCAATGTTTGAGGGCACTTTAAGATCTGTTGTAGAAAGAGAGACTATTAACAAAGGGCCAGGGTGTTTTTTTATGCTATGTATTAGGTATAATACTAGGTCAATTGCACAAATTCAGAGTCCACATAGTTTATCCTTTCATATTAAAATTTGGTGATTATAGCGAGGTTTAAACAACACAAGAAGGCGCTTACAGCGGCATTCCGTCTGGCTTGCTTGGAGATTAGATCGAGAAATGAGAAGCGAGGCGATTAATTCTACATGAAACAGAATTGACTCACTAAAGGTTTTTTACTTCCCACTTCAACAACGTCGATACTTTTTACTTGTTTCTGAATTGATTTAGTACGCGTGTTAGCGATGACCGGAATCTGTCTGCAGTCGCAGGCCATACGCATGTATAAATACACGAAAATTCAAGGGCTTCTAATGTTTTCATTATTATTATTATTATTATTATTATTATTATAATTATTATTATTATTATTATTATTATAGCAGAGTTCTCAACTGGATGCTAAGAGCTTAAAAAGCTGCACAGGGCACACAGCGTAACCTATGAGTCTAGGAGTTACAAAGAAATATAACAATAATAATAAAAATATAAAAATATTATGTAAAAATATCTATATCTATATAACTCTAACAAAAATTACAATTCAATCGTCTCTCAATTCACACATAATTATAACAAAGTTCTCAAATGATTGCCTACAGCTTAGGACGCTGCAAAGAGTGCACAGCGAACCAATGAGCCTAGGAATTAAAATAATATAAAAATAATAGTAATAAAAATCTAAAAGAAAGTATCTATATCTATGTACATTCTCTTTGAGAGAAAAAAAGATAACAAAAAATAAGGCTCGCCGCAATGAAATGCTACAAAAAAAGTCAAATCCAAACTTGGCCAAAGCTAGATTTAATAGAAATCATTGGAAAATACAATCAATTGTCTCTCAAGTCACAAGCCTTATGGCTCGCTCAGTGAGTACCAGGCTGGGACTTCATCTATGATCATGAGTCCCAGGTCATGCAGCATCTCATAGAAAAGTGCTCTTCATTATTATTATTAATAGAAATTTGTACCGCGCAGTTTAGAGTCTAACCTAACTGCACCCTAAATCTTTGTGGCTTTATAGCGGAGCTCCCGCGCGCGAAGCGCACGCAGCGGAGCACCATGGGTAATAAAATTTCGTAAACTATCCATCCGAGAAAATTTGGTTATGACGTAGAGTACGCCCACCCGTACACACACTTCATGTAAGCCGATATCAAATGTCACAATAGATCTTGCACAACTTGACTAGCCTTTCAGTTTTGTAAGCCATCCGTATGAGTACGATTAGATTGACAGCTGTCAAAAACAGACATCCGCTGACAATTATCACATGACCATCTCGCGGGCTCACATCAAAGATCAGTCGTTTTGCCCCTTCATATAAGCTGATATAATATGTCACACTTACCAATTCAACATAAAAACGAAACTACCCCGGGCTGGGCTGTCAGTCGGCTGACAGTCGTTTAAAGTTATATTGGCAAGCCAAATTACGGTCAATTGACAGCTGTCAAAATGGGATATGTGCATAGATTAACTTGGGCTCAGGTTCGCTCAGGTACACGATCTGTCATTTTCCACTACAAGCCGGACGGATATGTCTTACTCACACTCGTAGTCTGTTAATTCGAATATTCGCCATTCTAATGAAGGTTAATTGACAGCTGTCAAACTAGAGTATACGCTGACCATCATCACCTGACTGTATCGCGGGCTCATTTTTCTATCCATTGAGGTCACCCATAGCTTAGAAAAGCTATCTATCCTAGAAAATGCGGCAATCACGTGACCTACATCGAGCACCCGACCTTCCGTCCGTCTGCACCACAGGCATACCAATGTTTAACTCACACTTTCTAGCTAGTTTGGGAGCCTGCAACCTGATATTGTACACCCATGTTTTGATTAAATGACAGCTGTCAAACTAGTGTTTCTGCTGACCAGCATTGCCTGACCGTATCGCCGGCTCAGGTATCGACCCACCGAGTTCGATTGTTTTTTGAAGTAATCCGCTGACAAGTTGCTACTTTTTCAAATGATCGCAGGCTCAAGTTCAATTTTTTATAATGCATATAAAATAAGTTGTGTTCATCATGAGCTGCACTTTTAAAATTTTGATTTCGAACTGACCTCGGACGTGAAAATTCAACCGGCTTTTACACGCAGGGAAGGCAATCGTTTTTTACTTTTCTCACTGTCACGCGTTGATCACGCTCTAAGTCCAATTTTTGTGTTCTGATTGGTCAAAAATTGACAGGTGAGTTCATGCGGAAAATTTATGCAGCGTCTGGAAAATTGTTTACTTTGACAGTTGAAGCTGACAGAGTTTTGTGTCAACTTGTGATGTTTTAATTGTCTTTTTCCACTTTTGTACAAAATGAAATACAGCTGCTATCAAGATTGTTCTGTAATTCATGGCTGGTTTGTTTATTGCGCTTTTATTGACAAATGCACCGCTTGTCAAAGTCTTTGGAAATCCGATTTCGGATGGCATCGTTTTCAAAAATGAGCCTACTCACTTGCCCTTGCTTGAGGCGTAAGAGGGTTGAAAAGTCTCAAGCGACTGTGGAACACTTGATGACCTTCAGAAGCAGCATCTCGACTGGTAAGCCTGAGCAATTATTGTCTTTGACGTGTGTTTTTTTTTTCGGTTTCCTGACGTCGAGCGTATTGTTTATGCGGCTTAATAAGTTTATACACGAGCAATGATCTAACCTACAATAGTATCAGGTTTAAAAATCCTTTAGACGTCTTTTGACCGCAAATTCAAAGAAAAGGTTCCGAAGAATATTTAGTTGTGGTTTTGGCTGTAAACAGAAAGCTCTGAGCGATTTTCTTGCCTCGAGTTCATCTTGCAAAAGAGCAGACACCGGGAAGCCGGCTTAAAACATAAATAAGCTTTATATGCTTACCTGACTCATGATTTTCAGAGACACTTAACTCTCAATAGTTGTCTTTGTGAATGAAAATTATTGTCTCTGTACATGTTTCACCGAATTATATTTATTTTATTGATTGTTAGTAGTCCCTCTCGCAATTTTTATCGCTGCACCGGTTGTTTTGAGTCGAACATAAACATCGCATGCAGGAATACTCAAAACGCAGCGCGTAAATAATCACTAGCTTTTAAAGATTACACATAACAAGACTATAAACAGTTTTACAAATACAGGGAAATAAAACCTAAACATAACAAAATCTCTATCATGTTGAAGCGTAAATGGTAACTCTTTTAATCGCACTGCAAATTTGGTGCCTGTCAAAAGTGAGAACCCGTCCGGCTGGCCGAAAAGGTGATTTTGGGAATTTTTTTCATCGTTTTCACTAAAAGCCCATAATAATTAAACTGCATATCACATAGGAACAGATTTTTCTAACTGAAAAGTCCCGGCATTATGGAATTCTCTTCATGAAAACGTTTTATAATGTGCTCAATGCCATAATTTGTTGTGCAAAGGAAGGGCGTGCTTTGATCACAGGTAACCCAGGCTCACTGTTAGTGCCACATTCGGATTTCATAACATGGTTAAATATAGAGAACATATTTGGCGAAGTTTAGGTCTGAAAATTTGCTAGAAAATGGAAATAAAAATCGATGAAACTTATCATGTGGCAAGTTGTTGTTGTCCTTAATGTGTACACGAAGTTTCGGGAAAAATAGTCTGCTTCACCGTTCCTTCATGGTATTATATTTCAGGGTTGTCCAATTATTACTCTCTCAAACGGAGCAATGTTGGAGAGACTGGTGAATGCCACATTATGATGCAACAGCTAATGCAAATACAATACACTTTCCAGGCCTAATCTACTGTGATCGAACATGATTGCTATTTTTGGGTGTACAAATAAGACTACTAACTCAATGTAAAGTTTGTTTCACTCCTGGACTGTCAAATTATTTTTCTCTAAAATCACTTAGCCTTTGCCTCAAAAGTCACATGAATGTACCCTGATCTGTGGATTGCAAGTTTATTGTTTGATTTAAATTATGAATTTATTAACGGGAGCTTCGCTTTTAGCCCTGGCTAAATCTATATATTATTCCATCTCTAACGAATGTACCTCTGCTCTTCTCTCGAGGTAGGTATTATTATTATTATCATTATTATTATTATTATTATTATTATTATTATTATTATTATTATTATTATTATTATTTACAGTGCACACAAAAGTGCACAAGATTTCCACGGCTTTTTTAAAGCGGCCCACGTTGACAACTGGTGATTCACATTCTTCTTTCATTCAGATATCTTAGTTCTTGAACAGACGTTAAGCTGAGCAACCCTAAAATTCTTAGCCAAAGCTTCCAAGCACCTGACAATTTTTCTTAGAGCACAGCCATGAATTTCAAAAACAAGAAAGGTCTGTTGTTATAACTTACATGACACTTGGAACACCACCCTTGAAGATCTCACTCGTCCACCATTATTCTTGGCAACACAGTAAAAATATCCATCATCCTGACCATACTGTAGGTTGCTGATTATAAGTTGACCTGTACTTGCTTGATGAGTGTATTTACTTCCCGAAATATCTTTGCTGTAACCATTTAAGTCTGTTGCAAACCACTCGTAACTGGTAGCTGCAGTGGCTTGGCAATTGAGAGATGCACTGCCTCCATTTTGAGGATTTGTCGGAGCTTTTCCAACAACCAAGTTTGATGGTGGGTTTTCTGGATTAAAACAAAATTGCAAAACTCTATTACACTGGCCTCCCTGAATAATAAATCCATTTTCTGATTCATATTAAAGACAAAGTATTACAGTGTTTTAGAGTCTTTTAAAATGACTAAATCATTTTGAAATTTACATAAATTTCACATTTTTTCTTACATGTGTTTACAAATTTACAGGAATATGATTTGTAATGAAACGTGAACTTTAAAATATGCATATAGACACCTGCACCGCAAAAAAACATTACATGTCACCCCTTTTAATAGTTACAATTTTTTTGTCTACCACACCACATAACAATAATACAAATCCATTTTCCCCACGGTTTAAGACATTCTGAAAATTTCTAGACAAGATTTCACGATTTAATAAAATAATACCCTAGATGTATTATGGTTTACCCGATTTATTCATGAAATAATGTAAAATTAGTAATTACCGCAAAACCTAGAAGCTGAAAAGACATCACGCGAATGAGAAGTGACCTTAACGGTCTAAATCAGACGTGTCGAGTCTAGTTAAATTAAGGAATAGTTTTTTAAAAAATATTTTTATAATGTCACATGTCAATAGTGAGTCTTGCGAAGATGTACATGTAGCTCACGCAAGTTCCCGTAAAATTATATCTGACAGTTCCTTTCGATATTTTTGTTCGCCGAAAAAGGGGTGGTTTTTTATTGAAAAAAATAAACCGAAACAGCGGCAAAAGTTAGAGGATCACTTCCTCTAGAGTTTCAAATATACCGTACGTGTCTCTGGCAACGAACTTTCTCACAATCTGCGAAACGTACATGTAAAACAACAATTTTACGAAGTTGTATAAGTGCTCACAAAAGAAAAAATACATTAAAATTTGTAACTCCCCACTGATTCTTACTTAAGATGAAGATCACGCTGTGATCGGAAGCAAGATTTTTAAAGAAATGTCCAATTTACAACGAAAGAGCAAAGAAAACGAAATGTCACTACACACGTTTCCAAGCAATGCTCATTTCACCTCTTGCTTGGAAGCGCAGCAATCGCGGGTTGTTTTAATTGGAAGTTTACAACCGAAATAATAAAAATAAGCAATTCGAAATCTTAAATCAAAACCAAAATTAATGCGTATATAATAGTATAACTACAACTTAGAGTTTATTACTAAGGCAACTGAGCGAGAGCAAATTCATGTTTACTCCACACATCAGAATTGAGTCAATATTGTATCCTTTGCGGATCTGACATCGAAGGTAAAATAAAGTGAATGACTATTCTAACTTTCCAAAAAACTTTCAAAGTAAAGATACCTTCATTAAAACGTAAATTTGACATATCTATTGTTAATGCTAACTTTCGAGCTACAATGTAGCCGTTGTTTTGGTGCTACGATGGCCGACGTTTTGAATGCACACTTGTTTGCATACAAAACCTCGGTGTCGCGCCAAGAATATTACAAGATTAAACTGTGATTTCGGTTACACAGACCTACCTGCTTTTATAACAGCCCAACAGAAGAAAAGATATAAAAGTCCACTTCGTTGATCAGCCATAGTAAAGTTAGATCAATGGTGATTTTGGACTTCCATCAATCAAAGGTGTCAAAAATATTCGGCTTGTTCCGGTGCACGACTGCGCGCCGATCTTGGAAAATAGTTGAAGACTTGTGTAGCTTTCCCTATCCTTCAGCAAACATAGATCTAACGTGTAATTTAATCTTGAGGAAGCCGCGTTCGTAAAACCCTAACTTTCACCCAGTTGAAAAAAAAAAAACAATGAAGTTATTCCTCGCAACCAGTCAATCATAGAATCGCGCGCGGATCAAATCGCGGCTTCGAACATCGCACATGAAAATATGCTACGCATACTTCCGTACAAATGACATAGGCGGACTTATATCCAAGAACATGACAATCATCGACACGTTTCTGTGCTTCCTTGAAGGGAACAATTCTTCGGATATTTCAAACTTTCAAACGGAAACAACTCAAGAACCATAATGTTCATAACATGACAATTGCGTTTCCGTCACGTGGTATATACTGAGTGTTAGGATTGGTTAATTATTAAAAATACGATAGCACGCTTCGACAACTCGACACAAAGCGTTTGACAATCGAAGGTTTAAATGACAATCACCCAGCGAAGCCCCAAAGTAAAACAAAATATTTGCATTTGAAAGAAGCAAAAGGTACATCCAATATAATAAAAAAAAACACTTGAAAGGAAATTAAGAAAAAAATAATTTAAGATATCAACACAAGCGATTTATTGCAAAATGTCTACCCTAGTGTGTTATAAAAATTCATATCCCGTTATTTGTCTATTCGTTTTAAAGAAAAAAGGCCTCATCTTTTTAGTGAGACTGCACTTGTTTCGCACGCGAATAAGGCAAGCCGATAACTGGTCTTGCTGTCATTTTGACGTGGGCGTTTATTGCCTCTTGATGCTTCAGACATTCACACGAAGTTACTTTTGAAAGTTTTCTACTGACCACAAAAAAAAACTTTAGTCGCGGTTAGACGAAAACAGCCAGGCATTTTACCACTCAAAAATACAGTGGTAAACCTTGTTGAAGTTATTTTAAAGTTTTTCAACATAAGAAAACCTCTAGACCGTTACAATGTTGGCGGATTATGCATGGAGAAAACTTGTTGACTTTCTCTAACAGCCAATACCAAACTGATGAGGTTAACCACGATAAAATATTTCAGTAAAGATACGGGAAGAATGTGGTATTATTTACGTAAATTTCATTCAAGCTTTAGGTGCTGATAAATTCCTAAGCGGTTTGTCTTATAGGCCTTGTACGCACGTAAAAACAATGCAACACTAGGACACTTAACAATCCTAATCCTCTTGGGCGAGCCGCGTCTCAATGGAAAAATTCAAAACAAGGGGCGATCAATACTTAATGAACAAGAAATTGCCCACGCTTTGATTGTTGCTTATAAGCGTGTTCCCCGGTAGAATTTGCTTTCATGACATACACACTTCTGACAGGATCACGTCTGCCCCTTCAGCTCAGTCCAGCTGTCTCCAAGCCTTGTTGATGCGGCAGATAGAGACGGTCTAAGTTGTCTCAACAGCCGGTAAAATATGTTGCTATATTCCAATCCTATTGACTGTCTGCAATAGTTTTTTTCAGATTTTTTGTTCTTTCGTTTCAATTTTCTAAGATAAAAACCTTAAATGGAACAGAAATGGAAAGGTATTTCTCGTCTTCACGAGTTATCAAAAGAACAGAGACTGTGTCGGATCAATTAGTGCATGAAACCGTGAAGCGGCATCGTGGTCAGAAAAAGTTTTAGGGCCAATCTAAATCAGTACAAAATTATATTTTTGTCCCTTTAAACTCATCTTTCCGGGGCTCGCGCCAAAAATAAAAAATTGTGATTATTGCTTGAGCGGAAAGTATTGAAATCGAATTATATGAAAATCAGATTGCTTATTCAGTACCTACTAAGAGCCCTGGATGCAATTATTATGGGCGCGATCCATTCAACCAAACTTTCCGGAAATTTCGGTCCAAAACTCAATGGATCGGTTCGGTCCAACCGGAAAAGTTTCGAAGAAACGGGTCCACCTTTTGAGGTGGTCCTCTTTTCCCGGTCGGACCGGTTGGAATTTTGGTTGAATGGATCGCGCCCTATATCTTCCTTTAGCGCCTAAGGGTAAAGAATGAACACAACAGAAATCGATAGAAGTATGTAGATTAAATTTATTTTTACCGTTAAGGCTGTTGGAATGGAAGACCTGGCATGGGCTAGTGACTAGTCAGCAACTCAGTAACACGGATGTTATCTCCTATTAAACATGATTTCTTGCTAAAACGTCTTTAATTCTATAATTAAAGTAATTTACAGGGGAGGAGTTGGGTTAATTGCGGATCATTGCACACTTGATTCAAGTCTTCGTCCATTTTGAACAGTTCCCACCACTGAGATGTACTGCAGCCAGTAAGCAGCTTTGTTCTTAGAGAACGCACAACCGTGGACATGCCTAAGTCAGTTCCAGGATGACAGTAAAGTGATCATAACAATTTCGATTTGCGCATATACGGCTTATTATTTATGTGTTGTGACTGTATTCAAAAGACTCAATTATTATGACAAAACAAGACTCCCTGGCTCGCCAGAAAAGCAATAAAAGATTTTTTTTGATAAGGGATTTAGTGCCGCTTGTTCTCGATGAATAGACCAGCGGGAGAACTTTTTCACCGTTAATCAAGGTTGCACCGTTACTAATTATGCCCGAAAAATATTTGTTTCATTCTTCAATGCATGCAAGTTTGATCTAACTCTGCAGGCGTGTACCCGAGCCGACAAAAAAAGTTATTGTCGACGCAGAGCCGTAACCAGTATGGTCCGTGTACACTTCGGCCAATCTAATTTTCTATTTTTCCAACAAAAACGGAAACAGGCAATATTACTTATCCTTGTCATATTTACATATTTTAAAGTACAGACAAAAATACAAAAAAAAAGAAAATGGTCAGGAAAATTGATCATTTTTTCATTTTTCTAATTTTGAAGTCCGCTTCAAAAATACAAAAAATACGGTAAACGGCTAAAAGCGATATTTTGCTATTTTTTATTTTCTTGCTATTGTTAGAAAATGTGAAAAATGAAATAATGTCCGATTCCTAACTCATCTTTCTATTTTGCCGTTTTTCGCCAAAAATAGAAAAACAGGAAAATGAAAAAAATCGTATTTATTCCCACCATTTTTTCATTTTTTCCATTTTGTTCAAAAAAATGAAAAAATAGAAAAATAGCATACCAATCGCCCAATTTTCCATAATTCCATTTTAATAAGAAAAATGAAAAAATGACAAGTGTTGCGGGCAATTTTCTATTTTTTTTATTTATTTAATAAACAGTAAAACTTTAAAACGATACACCCTTTCAGACAGTTTTTCCCTTTTTATTTTATTGAAAAATGGCGCAGAAAAGTGAGAAGTTATGAATATTTTAACGGTGAAGAAGAGACTCGCTAATTTGGTTAGAAGATTTTCCCAGGGTCGGCGGAGATGTGGGGGAATTTGGGGGCGGGGGAGGGCTTAGTTTTCGAGATGCGGACGTAGTTCCATTCACTTTTGATCTCGATTTCCCTGAAGGTTTGAGTTGTCGGGGGTCGACTGTGGATGAAAGCGGCGGGAAAAGAATATTAGAAAGGGTACGAGGGGGGAGGAGAAGGCGTGAAAATTGGTACGGGAAAAAGGGGGGGGGGGAACTCAACTGTTTTCATGCCAGCAACACTATGGTCCCAGCAAAAAAAAAGCGGTTCGTGAGAGAGATTAAGGGGAAGGAGTTAAGAATAAGGTCGTTGAATAGTCACATGAGCAAAATAAACAAAGAGCACGCCAGTGAAGAGGTCAGACGCTTTTAAATGAAGTAGATGCTCAAAAGTAGACTGCTTAGCAGGTCGAAATAACGGATCTTGCCGCAGAACGGGTCTTTTAGGATTGCAAGACTAAAGTATATTGAATTAATATTATGGAGGAGAAATAGTATACGCTCGCGGAAGAGAACATCTCAATGATTCTGGCCCCATACATTTGCTCATACATTTGTTTAAACGTTGGATAGCGACTGTCCACCGGATAGGCCACTACCCAGCGGCCTGATAATTTTTTGTGTATCTAATTTTACGGAAACCAATTGCGTTATCTACTGGATCGCTATTTATTTAGCGGATAGCGTTATCCACCTTTTAAGCAACTCAGCCCTGGAAAGACGAGAGCAAAGATCGCTAATGTCGGGAAACCCATGCGACAAGTATGGGGAAACGTTCTACAGTTTGAATGGAACAGGAACACTTTATGGTGACGCAGTGTTAGAACAGGTCACAGAGTGAGTCCTAAGTAATGAGGTAAAGGAATCAGCTAATCAAATCCAAAAGTGAATGAAACTACGTTCGCATTCCAAGAACTAAAGCGCCCCCACCCGCCCTCCGCATCCCACGTCTCCCGCCAACCCTGTGTAAATCGTCTAACAAAACTAGTGAGTCTAAAGTGGATTAGGTTTTTCTTTTCGTTATTAGTAAATGTTCATCATTTATCATTTTTCTTTGCTTTTTTTCATTAAAACAAAAGATGAAAAATTGTCCGTTTTTGTTTGTTTGTTTTGTATTTATTGAAAAAATGGAAAAATTATTCGCAACACTTGTCATATTTTTCTTGTTAAAATGGAATTATGGAAAATTAGGCGATAGGTATGCCATTTTTCTATTTTTTCATTTTTTGAACAAAATGGAAAAAATGAAAAAATGGTTCGAATGAATATCATTTTTTCATTTTTCTGTTTTCGATTTTTTGGGAAAAACGGAAAAATCGAAAAATGATCTAGGACTCGGAGATTATTTTATTTTTCTTACTTTTCTAACAATATCAAGAAAATAAAAATAGCAAAATATTGCTTTTAGCCGTTAACAGTATTTTTTGTATTTTTGAAATTAACTTCAAAATTAGAAAAATGAAAAAAATGATCGATTTTCCCGACCATTTTCTTTTTTTCTCTTTTTTTCTGTACTTTGAAATATGCAAATATGATAAGGATAAGTAATATTTCCTTTTTCCGTTTTTGTTGGAAAAATAGAAAATTAGATTGGCCGAAGTGTGCACGGACCCAGTATGAAGCGAGCTGAGGCAAAGATTGTGAATTTTCTTTTCACGTGCGAATAAAAAATATAAATATTTACCGGAGTGATAAAGCATAGCAAAAAGAATACGAAACAAATGTTTTAACTTCGTTTTTCTAATATTAACTT